GCGAAGGTGATGCAGGAGGAGATATTTGGACCTCTGCTTCCCATTGTGTCGGTCAGCGGCCTGGACGAAGCAATCCAGTTCATCAATAAGAGAGAGAAACCTCTGGCCCTCTACATCTTCTCACAAGACAAAAAGGTATCTAAAAGCAGATAATTAAATGTCTAATTCTAGTAGTAGTGGCTTATTTTCAATGTGTTTATATTTTTAATGAATCTTTGAATTGCCTTGTGTCTGAATGGTGCTATATAGACAGACATTACACACATATGCAGACATCTACATGTACAGTATGTAGATTCAGACTCATGGGCCTAACATTGTTCTCTTTTCTCTAAAAGGTGATACAGAGAATGACAGACGAGACGTCCAGTGGAGGACTGCTGGCCAACGACTGCCTTGTGCACTATTCTGTCAGCTCTCTGCCTTTTGGAGGAGTCGGTGAGTACACACAAACAAGAGTCTCTTTCACTTTCTCATTCATTGGTGAACTCACCCGTTCACTCAAGCTGCATACGTTTAGCTTGAGCAAATCAACCAGTCAATCAATCAGACAACCATTGGCCAACATTGGAGAGTTTTTTTCATTCTACATAGTGAATATAGTGTATTCATTTATCTCTACTTTACCCAGAATTGTCCCAGATACTATATCTTTGTGTCTCAGGTGCTATTGTCAAGGTTCCCGGGACAATGGGACATCCTTAATTTTGAATGCTAGGAGATAATGAAACCATCACAGTTAATAAATATTCAGGTTTCCATTTTTTATCAGTGTTCAACTACCAAAATATAGTAATCCAACTGTTTAAAATCTCTTCCTTGTTTGTGTGGTCAAGAAAACGCTGACATCAGAGATTTTAGAGTTGACGCTCAGATGAACCAGAGTCACCTCTATAATACTACTACTTTTTACAGTGTCTATTTTAACTTCACTGTCTCTGCTTTCAGGGTTTTCTTTTGACTCTCCATCAAACTAGAGGCCAATATGTGTTCACACAATTAAACCACCTTTGTCTGTTTTCTCTGTACAGGAAACAGTGGTATGGGTTGCTACCACGGCAAGTTCAGCTTTGACCAGCTGAGCCACCTGCGTGGTTGTCTCATCAAACAGCTGGAAATGGAGGGTGTGAACAGCATGCGGTACCCACCTCACACACTCAAGAAGCTGGGCTGGGCGCGCTTCTTCATCCTAAAGAACGTAGACCTGGGCTGGATTGGACGGATGGCGCTCTTAGCCGTCATGGCTGTGGTGGCTGCTGTGGTGCTACAAGTGAGTTGCAGAGGACGAGAGAAACGGCACTACAAAAACAGAAATGTTTGCATTGTGTATCACGGGCAAACAAAGCTTATTGTTTACTGTTTATTAGGATGCCCATTAGCACCAGCACAAGCACTGGTTATTCTTCCTGGACTCCACCACGCACACAGTTATACACACAGTTATACACACTGCAACCACATAAACACAACACACACAAAAAAGCTCATCTCATTAAATGAACATACAAATACAGTCGGAAGAAAAACTAATTGTCTTCACAACAGACAATATTTGGGCACAACAAGAAATTATAAATCAATCACACTTTCTCAAGAATTCATAATAAACGTGAGTTTTCTTCATTAATACAAATAAATAATACTTAAAAAAACCATAACCATAAAAAACATATAATAAATGATAATAAACCATTATCTGACATAAATCACAGTCATAATGAAAATCCTTTAAAGAAAAAAACCCTGACCACACTGATCTCTTGTTTGTTTGTTTACACCAATTTGTTGTGCCCTTTTCCCTTTATGGCCCGTTTCCACCACCAACTGTCAATGTGTGTTACCGCCCTTTAAAGTTGGCAGAAATGCACGTCACAACACCTCAAACAGGAGAGGGGCCCACTCACCAACACACTGCTCTAAAGCACCACCAGGGGGCGAAAATGTTACAGCTTACCTGCGAGATACTTGTCAGTCATAAGGTGCTGCAGGGATGACGTTGTAGGATGTTTTTGTAGGCCAGTTAGCATCTCCCTGGTTCCACCAACAAAAAGTTATTGGGTTATTGCAGAAAAGAACAAAAGTTTGTGATACTTACATGTTTTGTTCAGCCAGAAAATCTTCACGTTTATTGTTTTTAAAGCGTAAATGCAATCGGCAGAAGTAAAAATCTAACGTTATATAAATATAAAAATATATAAATGAACTACACCACGCTCGCATGACTTCAACCTCACCACCACTAAGCTTTAAAGAGGTATTGCACACTAAATTAAATTAAATTAAACCCTAGAATGAGCCTTTAATGCAGTCTGCCACCATGTTAAACGGCCATGTTTCTACAGTAGCCCAGACGGGACAAACTAACAACACACATGGACCTTTTTAGCTTTTGCTGACCACAGACTTTATTTCAGGCATCTAACCAAAAACTCATTGACTTGAACTAATTTCTGGGTGTTAGGACTTATTCCTGCAGCAACTCATCGGCCTTTAAACTGAAGGACATCTTTTCTTTTTCAGAGATATCTCCTTTGAAGACATCCCGCTGCTCCCAACAAGCCTGCTGTTTCCTTGACCCCCAGGACCAGAGAGAAGAATATATATCGTATATAAATCAGATCAGCACCTGCTCTGCTGTAATACAGGGAACGTAAAGGTAGTTGCCTTAATCCATTTTGCATTTCAGTAACGATGTCAGACGTTTCACGTAGCTCGCTGTAGAAGGTTTCTTATTTTAATGAAGGTAATCAAAGGTATGAAGGTACAGTGTGGCTTTCAGCATTACTACGTTCCACTTTAACCCGTTAGACCAGGTTTGCATACCTAATATATATTCAATATATATATCTTAAATACACTAAATGATTTTAAATGAAGGAACAAAATGTGTAACATTGCTGTAAGACTGACAGTACAATGTCAGTTTCTTTCTTTTTTACTGTGATTTGAACAATAATTGTAGCATTTCCTGACAATGTTCACTGAAAAGTTAGTAAAGTTTAACAAATGTAATGCAATTTCTTGTCATAGTGAAATTGTTGTTATTGTTTCGTAGGAGTTACCTACAGTTTATTTTGTGTCCATTCCATTTCAGTAACAGATAAGCCATTAACTCCACATTCAACCTGAAGTTGCTCAATAATTTCTGTCCAGTGTGAGTTTGACGGTAGTGATGAAGACATTATGTCTGTCAGTCAGTTTTCAGTCCGTCTGTTAGTTGACGACAGTCTGTCAGAATCAAACAGGATAATGTTAAGGATGTTTTTTATTTAATTTTCTTTAAACACCAAATGCCTGTAACAAATTTAAACAGCCTTGTCAGTTGTTTAGTAATCTTTAAACAACAATAGTTGCTAAATGTTGGTAATGTAATAGTTGAATAAATACATGTATTTCTATATGGGATTAATATTCAAATAAATATATTTATACATGTATCCGTTTGTGACTTGGTTATTTAATTTTCATGATGTATTATTCCAATATTATATATATGTATTGTATGGCCTCAATCTATGTCTGTTTTTAACTACTACAACAGTGCAGACCATTTTATATCCAGAAAGCAACATATTTTTTAATCATGTGACTTTATGTTTTGCCTTCCATGATGTTCATGAGCTGTCCGATCATCATTTTAATTTCTTCTGGATGTGCTTTGCTCCTCCATTTCCAATTTTATTTTCCCAACAACACACAACAATCACTGTTGTTCACAGCTTGTGTTGTCGTAGCAGAAAGAAGTACGAGGTGTATGTAATAACATCATTGACGCCTCAGTCCCAGAAAACCTTTACAGTGAGCTAACATGCAAATTACTAGTCTGATATTCAGAGGAAATAGATCTTTCACCGGTACTCAGGTGTTACTAATAACATTAACAACATTAACAATGGCTCTGTCCTATTCAAGTGTCTCTGTAAGTCATGACAGTGTGACAGCGAAGCAACTTCATGGGATTCAGCCAATGATTCCCACTGTGACATGTTAAAATGTATTCTATGAAAAAGGCCTACCATCATGTTTTCAATTCATTATTATATATATATTATATTGCATTACAACCATTGTTTAAACCAGGACACTACCATTACCCCTGACTCACCAAATCTTATTATAAATGCTTTTTCTTTCCAGTTATCAAAATATCTTCTGTGAATAAAAGGCCAAACTAATTTAGCATTATACGTATAATGCTAAATTAGTTTGGCCTTTTATTCACAGAAGATATTTTGATAACTGGAAAGAAAAAGCATTTATAATAATCACATCGTAAAGTTTACTCCACTGATTTACTATTAAACTCCTGTAACACTGAAGAATCTAAGTCAATGCAACAGAACCAGATATTCGTCTTTATTGTGACCCTGGTGCCTACATTACTCAACGCAACTTTACCACCGACACGTAGGTCTGACATTTGGGTATGTTATGCTAACAACTAGCCTCAAGCAGATGCTACAGAGGTTTGGTAACTTCACTCACTTATAACTCTACATCCCTGTATTTTTGTAATTTTCAGACTAGTAGTCCTTAGACCCAGCCGATGCTGACTCAAGTGACATCACTTGAGGCTTCACACAGCTCCCTCTGTAGCCACAAAAGATCTTATACAGCTTATTTTCACATATGCAGCAGTACTAACCAAGACTTTACTTTGATGGGTAAAATACATGGAGGGAATCATTTGGGGAATGCGCCACACATTAAAAATCTGGTCTGAACTTGCATTTCTGTGATTGTGACACAGCTTTTAGTCTGATGAAGGAGATAGAGGCTGCTTTCAGTTAGAGATAGCACACAAATAACAAGAAATAACACAACAGTATCTAATTTTGCCACCAGGTGTCAGTCTTTCCTCGTTCAGACACCTGACAACTGAGGGTATTTTCTCAAAGTGGCTGTTTTTTTTCTCGCTCCACACACACACACACACACACACACACACACACACACACACACACACACACACACACACACACACACACACACACACCTTACCTTTTGTCATACTCATGACCGTCTCCCTCCCCCCCTCAAATGCAGCTCAGAGCCAGTATGTGAAGGCAGCTGAGATTAGTCTCTCAGGATCTTCTCTGGTCTCTGTCCTAATCATGGATTTTTCTGTCTACCTCCTGACTCTGCTTGCTCTCCTCACTCAGTGCACAGGTAGGACACACACTCACACACAAATACTAGAACAATTAAAACTGCATTCAGAAGCTATTCTTAGGACATACATTGTTTTATATTAATTTTATTTCAGAATAACATTAAAAATGTCCTGTTGTCAAGTTTGCGGCTATTTAAAATATACTGAAGAGAATTGTTGCATTTCATTGAGACAGGTTACAGCTACTTAAAAAACACTTACAGCCGCATAACTTTATTAATGGCAGTGATTCTCAATCTGGGTTGAGGCAGGAGTGAGGATTACAAAATAATCAATGGTTTAAAAGCAGAAAAAAACCTTTCTGCAACACAAAGAAATGTAAACCAATGATAAGGGGTTTCAAAGGTTGCAACTAATTATTATTTTCATTACCATTAGTACTCAGCTGATTATTTTTCTTAGTTAATGGATTAACTGTTAATTAAACATCAGAAAACAGTGAAAAACATCCGTGTATGCCAGAGGGAGAAACTGCAATATTATCAAATTGTTTTGTTTGAGCAACAAGTCCCAAAACATTTAATTTACTACAATGTAAGACAAGACAAAGCTGCCAATTCGACTATTTAAGAAACTGGAGCTGGCAAATGTGAAGCCTTTTTGCTTGAAAAACTACTAGATAGATAGATAGATAGATAGATAGATAGATAGATAGATAGATAGATAGATAGATAGATAGATAGATAGATAGATAGATAGATAGATAGATAGATAGATAGATAGATAGATAGATAGATAATTTATTTATCCCGAGGGAAATTCAAGTATCCAGTAGCACACAAGACATACATTAAACATGCATTAGAATAAAATAAAAAAATAAAATTCACTCATAACACAGTAGCCACAGTAAACAGTGCAAACAAACGATTATTTATCGTTCAACTCATCCATTAATCAACTAATCTCTGAAGCTCTAGTTTCAAGTAGACTTTGTTTTAAAGGTCCAGTGTGGAACATTTAAGAGGATCTATTGGCAGAAACGGATTATAATATTTATAGGTATGTTTTCATTAGTTTATAATCACCTGAAAATAAGAATCGTTGTGTTTTTGTTACCTAAGAATGAGCAGTTTTTATCTACAGAAGGAGTGGGTCCTCTTCTATGGAGACCGCCATGTTGAACCGCCATATTTCTACAGTAGCTGAGAATGGCTAAACCGAACACTGGCTCTAGAGAGGGCTTTTTGATGTGTTTCACAAGTTTTATTGGGCGTTCAAGTTTCTCCTACACACTATGTTCAACTGGTCGCAGTCTGCAACTTCACCGCTAGATGCCACTGAATCCCACACACTGGTCCTTTAAAGTGAAACCATGTAACTTTTGTTGAAAGACAGCTACTTTTACAAGAAAAATCATCTTAAAGTCATAAAACTTACACAGAAATATCTATCTAAAGTAAGCGAACATTAGCCACCACATACTGCTGGCTTATAAAAAAAAAGGCTGGGAACCAATGACATAAATCAATGAATCTCTAGGTTGCTGCTTCATTAGAAAACATTATTTAATTATAATAAAAGGGAAAATAAAATAATAATAATAAAAAAAGAGAGCTGGTGGATTTACAGTGGATTGTCTTAGGTGTGACTTTTCTGCACTGCTCAGTTTGGCACAGTTGTATGAGCCAGGTGGAGTAAAGCCAACCTCCACCTGTGCATTGTTCTCAGTTGGTGAGAACTGTTGTCCCCTTTCAAAGAATGGCATTGTGGGAGGCAGCGGGGTTAATCTGTGTTCCTATATTAGCTAAATGGTTCTCTATAGCGCCCTTCATTCCCACCACGGAGTCAGACACTGGAGTTTCATTCACATCAGCAATACAATACACAACCACAGCACAAGACTAAATGACTTCATCAACACCTGTTGGATGGACACGTTTAATGCAGCGGCGTAGAGGCAGTTAAGAAGTTAGATAATGGTTTTCTGAGCCAGCGATCTACTTTACACTGAATACAATCAGTGTAAGCACAACACACAACTCGCTTGTCTGAAAGATTAAAAATAAAGTCCGTATCTCTTTATCTATAACTCACTGTGCTTGGTTCAGATATAATAATAATAATAATAATAATAATAATAATAATAGGAATCATTAAATGACAACAACTTTAACTGAAATCATTTAATTGTGAACGCTGTAGAACAAGTGACATTTCCCCATTTGTTTTAATATGTATGTAAGTCATTTATAGCAATGTAGCTTCCACTGTGATCATTAATTACTATAGTATTAGTATATGATCACAGCTGCCATCTTTACCATATGCAGGCGTGTGTCAGTGTGTCTATTTTAATATATATTTATTTTATATTAACACTTTTTGAGTGCTAACAGTGAGAAACAAGGAAAAATCTACTAGTACAGCAGAGCTCCTTGTGTTGTGTACCAACAGGCATATATTATACAAACCTTTATGAACTTCACTCATTAAAAACATCTAATACATTCAACTTTAAATGATTTTAGCTCTATTTACCTTCTACACAGGACAACATGAACATAAAAAGCATGGTTTGTGGACCATTTTCTTGCTGTTAATATTTCTATTAAGAAAAATGTGTTTCTGTTGTGTGAACTCATTGACTGTTTGAAAATGTGCAAATGAAACTTTTGGCTCCCAAATGAGGAAATCACATGTAAGACGCACACAGGGTGATAAAAGCATGATTAAGATAACATTTGATGACCATTGTCAAACAAATTTAAGAAAGACAATGGTCTCTTTTCCTCAATAAAAGTGATTTTTATTTTAATGTTGGAAATTTTGGAGTCCAGGTCACACTGCAGAGGTCATGACCTGTGATAACAAGTATATATTTTTAACCTCAGAGTTGTTTATGCCCCTTTAAATGACTACAGGTGTGAACTTAAGATTTGATGCATTGTGTTAAAAAGAAGATTGTTTGTTGGTAGTTTTGAGATATAAAAATAATTGACCCTTCCTAAATCACATCCCCTTATTGTATCTGTGCTCCAATAACAGTTGAGCAAGCCTCAGTCAGAACCTCGTCTATGTTGAAAAGATGACCAAATATTGAATACACATAGCATATTTATCATATCTAAGTACAGGAGAGAAGAAAGTTGCCACAGAGCAAAAATTGGCGGGACTAAAGATGGCTGTAGTCTATCAAAACAATGCAGAAATACACATTTTACATGTATATAATTTATCAAATATCCCACCAAAGCACACGTCATTAATAATAATAAACATTTTGGCTGGTAGCTCGCCTGGTGGAGTTTGTGCTGCACGCCTCAAGCTCAGTTTTCTGAGCTGGTCAAGAGGTCACTGTGTGTCCTGTGACTGTAATACCTCATTTATTTGTCCTTGCTGACGAGTTCTGTTTAAATAACTGCTATACAATAATTTATATTTAATTGATGAGCATAAAGAAGGCAACTGAAGGACATGATTAGTAATGTGAGAATTAATAATTATCTTGGCTTATGCATGTGAGAAAGTTGTTTTGCTCGCTTTGACTTTGACTTTGACTCAGCACAAACTCATTAGCAGATCAGCTGGTAAGATTGCTGACCGAGAAAAAAAAACCCACTGCTGCTAATAGAGCGTGAAAGTGAGAAGAATTAATACTCATTTATTAACTAAAGAAAGCCATTTTGTTTGGCACTAGGGAAAAGTGTCACCGAACAATGATATACTGTATGTCTGACCTGAGTGCTGTCCTTTCTCCTCAGCTCAGTGGTGTTACCAGAGTCAGTACTCCTGTGACGACACATGTAGAGGTAAGACCAGATTCAAAGACTCTCAAGTATTTAAGGAGACAAATCAAACGTTTTTTTCTATATATTTATAATTCATTAAACCGCTTTGAAGGCAAGAAGACACCATGTTTTTAAAGCCTTTATAATCAATATTTTTGTCTTAACAATGAATTACTTATATGTGAAAGGGGTTTGCCTGTAGTGATGAACCCAAAGAGAACTGCAACTCCGCTCAGTGTCTATCAGTTCTCTGAAGCTTTATCCTTTAGCTCGTTGTTTCGGTTTTTAAGGCTCTAAACTTCACTGTTTGGTTCACTCAAACTACTCTCATAGTGACGTATTCGGCCACAGCAGGCCGCTGTTTTCAGTGAAAAAGCTTTGAAAACCGCTGTACACTATCTGCTAATCACCAAACAGCCAACAGACACAGTTAGCAACTGGCTGGTGAACATAGTGGAGAATTTAGCAGCTGATAAGAAAGATATTTGAAACTGGTGGAGACCAATAACAAAGCTAACATGAAAGTTAATATTGGACTTAATTAATGTTAATGTTGCTTTATGTGTAAACAGGCAACTGTTAGATCACATGTTCACCATATACATTTAATTAGGTGATGAATAAAAGCTGGGTCCTTAAATACCCACAATGCAACTTCCTTTAGATCCAGCAGCCACTTCTTTCAAACACCAAACGTCCAGTTTGTGGTGCAGGCTTTATTTGAAGGGGTGTGTGTAAGACTGACATGACACAAGATGATTATGTCATTTTTAAATGGGCTTAAGGTTAATTGACTGAAGAACACTTAATGATAACAGTCATAAAGATATATAAAGATTCCTTCATGTTCATGACAGCACCCCTTAAAATAAAGTGTTACAAACACTACAACAACAGTCTCAAGCCTCAAGATAAAGTAGTCAAATAGTAATTCTTGATCAGGCCCAGTATATTTTCTTTATAGTTTTACAGCCAGAACAACTGAAAGCAGAAGATATGTTCATTCTCAGTGGGATTGGCGGTATTAGTAACCTTTCTCACAATAGAGGGGTTAGACTGATGAATGTTAATATGTTTTATGGAGCTTTAAAAAAGGTACTTTGTGCTTTATGCTGCTTCCACCCAATGAGACTAGAGCGGTGTTCTCTCAGTAGCACGGGGAATAACATTTGATGATGTTGCTGCTGCTGTTTGTGTTGTTGAGACCCTAGCCACTGGGCAGCTCAGTTTCCCAGCTGTGGAGGATTACGCCAATCACCGATTAACATTGTCACCAACAAAGTGCACGTCAACAGCGCCCTGCCACCCTTCGACTTCATCGGTCACACCAACACAATCAACATTACAGTGGAAAACAAAGGACACTCTGGTAATGAAGGGCCCACTTCTCTTCGCCTCCAGACCATTTTTTTTTACCAGGTGTTGAACTCTGGTTTGTGAATATAATCACATCTTTATTCTCTCTTTCTTGTAGCTCACTTTGTTCTACCACAGTCGGTCCGACTGACGGGAGGAGCTCTGCCTGGTCACTACAGAGCCGCCCAGTTTCACTTCCACTGGGGAGGTAATGGAAGACCAGGATCAGAGCACACCATTGACGGAGAGAGGTTCCCCATGGAGGTATGTCCCACAGGAGCCATCATATAATTTGTTGTCTTTTAGTTAACACAGGGGTCAGCTTACACTCCACTATAACTCATTTTGCTGCATTTTGGGCTTCCAGCTTCATATAGTCCACATCAAGGAGCCGTATGGTTCTCTAGCAGAGGCAGAACACGATATGGCGGGTATAGCTCTGCTTGCCTTCCTGTTTGAGGTAATAAATTAAAGATGTATTCATGCATTCTTAATTAAATTAGAATAAATATTATTTAGGCTTGTGCCACAGTGTTGACGGTGTCTTCCTCACAGGAATCGACTGATGATCATCCTAATTTGGACCCAATAATATCTGCTTTGGGTCGAGTACAAAACAATGGTATGATGTTGGTTACTTAAATGTGAAGGACAAACTTTTTGTAGCATAAGAGACATTAGACTTGCTAAAGTTGCTTTGTTTCCAAACACTTCTCCTCTCTTGTTTCTGTCTTAAGGCAGCAGCACAATGATCACAAACTTTCGACTCAGCGACTTTATCCCGTCATCCAATGAGCTCCACAGTTACTACCGCTATGTGGGCTCCATGACAACTCCGGGATGTGAACAGGCAGTTGCCTGGACAGTGTTTCACAGGACCCTGTCCATCAGCAGTCGACAGGTGAGCTAGGATTAAGGCTAGGGGTCTTCCTGGTTGTATTTCCTCAACAAATCAAACAAAATATCCTTTAAATGGTTCATTTAATTACTTCTACATAGTAAAAATGTTTAAATAAATGTTTTATCCCCAGGCAACATAAAACTTCTATGGTTAATTAAAAACAAGTGCCTCTTGTAATGACCTACAAGAATGTCAATAGTCTGATGGATCCGAACCTTTGAGTTATTAACAGAAACTTTAATGTCCCTTTTTAGCATTTTAACAGAAAACATATAATTTTAAACAGCAACTATTGATTTAAAGTTGAATCTGCACTCACTCTCTTTCCTGTATAAACGTCCCTTCCTCTCCTCAATCAACTCTTTTTCTTATACCTCTCCGTTCCAGCTGGACGCAATAGTTCAGCAGTGTCGATTCTGGACGGGACAGCCTATGACCGACATCTTCAGACCCACGCAGCCTCTGGACGGCAGAGTCGTGTACAGGTCCAAGGCGAGTGCAGCTCTGAAGAGTGTGATCCACGTGTGGTTCTGCGTTTTCTCAGCTGTGCTCGGGACAACGGGTCTGATACATTGACTCAGCACATGACAAAAAAACACCTGATTTAAGTGACAAAAGCTACCGTTTGTATAAAGGCAACTTTTTACCTGTGTGATAGTGAAACAACAACCTGTTAATTATGTTCATGGTTATTCATTAAACAAAATGTCAACTGCATTTGCACATAAACTACGGCCTGCTGAATAATTGCTGTGACAGTGAGACAGTGAGAGTTATTGTGCAAAGTGAATGTTTTATTTTCCTCTGGTGGTTTCTGGTAACATCTTTACACATTAGTATTGTCTTAGTATTGGTATTATTCACACTTAACATTCACTCACATTGTACATTTATTTAAAAATACTAGAGATGAAAATGCATGGCTGTAGTTATGACAACTGGATTGGATGTTTTGTTATGAACTCTGGTACAGACATTCATGTCCCCTCAGGATGATTTAAAATAACTTTTAATGTAGCTCAATCATCTGGTCGACTTTTGAATTTGTCCAATACTTTTTTTTTTTTTTTAAATGACCTATAAACACTAACTAATACTAAGTGCATTCCCATCTGCCTCAGCTAGCACTAATTAACAAATGTTAGCATGCAACCAGATTGAGTAACATTGTCTTTGCGAGTATATTAGTATGCTGTCGTTAGCATCCTTATTTTACTTGTTGTTAGGGGTTAATATTTTATATTCGCACAGTTAGACTTTACATTAACTCTAATCAGCTTTTATGTGTTTTTCAGTGTAATGAATAAAAAGTGTAGAATTAGGGGGTTTACAATAAGTTCTTTTTCCTCCTGACAGTTACAAGCTGAGGAAGTTAGAAGTAAGATTAGAAGATTAAGGCGTTTCTTACATGTACTCTACACTTGTTTATTTGTGTGAAGGCAAAGCGAGTTATAAATGTACATAAACACCTGTGATTCTCTGCCAGAGTAACAACATCTTCTCTGTTCCTGCTTATGATTATGACCCTCTAATGCGTTGCTTTGTATATAATCATCGTTTATGAAATAGAGAAATGTGCCATCATATTAACAGGGGGAATTTATTTGAACTTGTGTGGAATTACCAATGAGACTTAATAATTTTACATTAGGAAAACTGTATTTTTGATTTTAAGGGATAATATTGATTGTTGATTTAATGTCAATAAAATCTGATCACTTGTTTCTGTTTCCTAAGTATTTTTACATAAAGTTTCTGTATGAAAACAAAAAAAAACATACCTAAATTGCCTTTTTTGTATTAGTACAGTGTGTGAAGCCTACCAATAGGTGAGTTTTATGACATAACTAACTGTAAACTGACAGTGATAGTTTATGTGTTAGCACTTGATTAACTAACTAGAACCATGCATATGTTTTACTGTATGAGCTTGTGACTTTGGGCAGACATGTAATGTTTTGTTTTTGTCTTTCTGTGCCATTAAACAGCGCCACCTTGAGTCTGTGTGTGGACAGACAGGAAGATAAATTGCTTCAGATGTGATGAAAATCAGCCAGGCTGTAAAACATTTATTCATTTTGCCACCTGTTTTACAGGTCCTTTGTAACAGCAACCTACTGACAAATCATATGTACTTGGAGGAGAATGTTTGAAAGGCAACATGGTTTTCAAGTCACTTTGACCTCAATCTGACATTTCATACTTTCAACTAAATTGTGGCAGCAAACCTGATTCATAATGTTAAGGTGAAACTTGGGTTCACTGTTCCAGTTTCTTAAGCCAGGTCCTCATGTGCTCCACCTGTGCAGCAACGCTACTCTTGGCCGTGCCTCCAGGGGCTGTATACTGCTCCACACTGCTCCTGTAGTCCCACACTGATGATACATCGCTTTCAAACTGAGGGCTAAAATGAAACAGAAGAGAAAAAAAAGAGAGAGGTAATTGAGAAAATCATAAGACAAAATGGTTGAAGGAGAAACTACAGTTATGTTTACAGGATTTTAGGTTTTGTGTATCAGTCACCTCACAGCACTGAGGTCTTCCACAGTGAGTTGATTCAAGGCGATATTTCTGGATTCAGCTGTGAACACAGCTTTACCAGAGATACCATGGGCCTCTCTGAACGGCACCTGCGACACAATTGCAACACAAAATACATGTAAAACCATAAAAATGCCACATATTAAGTATTCTTTCTCCCATCTGATTTTTGTTCTCAGTGGTTCTTGTCAAATGGAGTCACCAGAAATTCTAAATAATTCTAGATATAGGTAAGACATTTTTTCACTCACTGTTACAACAAAAAATAAAAAAGAACAAAAACAGACAGAAATGGGACATGATGTGTGTGTGGACAGCTGAGGCGGATACATTTATGTTGATAAATGCCAAAATTAATAATTATGTACCAGACTGCATCACTGTTACCTTATAATCTTTTGAAAATATTTTTACAATTTGCACCTGGATGGAAATAAAACACTACTCACCCCCTTCCTCACAAGGTAGTAGGCCAAGTCAGTAGCCAACATGTCAGGACTGAGGGCCGCTTCCATCACACTCTGGTTAATCTGAAACACAGAAGAAACAACAAAGGAAACTAAATAATTTTGTCTTTTGAAAGAAGGTCTAGAATTTTTTTTTGGCATTTACGGTGCAAAAAAGCACATTTTGAGTTGCAGGTGATGCAGCAGTCTTCTTGCTGTGCTATATTGTGTTTAGGTAGCTAGGCACAAACTTTCTTCTATTAAAACCGCCTTCACATGAACAACTGCAACTTTCACTCAGTGTAACTAATTAAAACTTTCTCCTCATTTGTCGTTTGTTAGAAATTGCTGCTTTGCACAAGAGGAACATAACAAGGCTGCCAAAATGTTAAACATTGTTAAAAGCAAGGTTAGAAGATTTTGTTGTCAGTGCTGTGAAAATGGTGTCTAGATACAAGAGAGTGCAGGTGGTTATAATTCACTTTAGACTGAAAAAAACAGAATAAGAAGTTTTAAAAGGTTTTTATATAAAATATACAGGCAAGCAGCCAAAACCTTTAAAAGTTTAAAATTTTGATCTACAACCACACTGTACCCATGAGACCAAGCAGTTTGTATTCATTTTAAAATGAATAACAGACTTAAATCTCTGACCTTGAGAGTTGACATGACTCCAGTTGTCACCTGCAGCACAGCATGAACAGTATCATAGCAGTCAAACATGGCCTCCTTATCCTCCTGAAGAAGGATGACAAAGACAGCATGATAAAAACTTTTGAGAGGAAATAAAAATACGTCCTTCCCATGAAGTGAAAGTGAAACTTTCATACCTGCAGGTCTTTGTTGTAGGAGCTGGGCAGGCCCTTCAGTGTCATCATGAACCCTGCACACTGAAATACACACAATGTCAACTAGACAGTAGTACAGAAGAAAGCAGTAAAGTTTGTCAAAGCACAGCAAGTCTGAATGTGCTGCTGTGCTTCTGAAAGATAAAAAATGTTCATCCATAAAGCTCTGACTAGTTAAATATGACTTTATTTGGGCTGCCAGGTTTGACTCTGCAAGAAAACTAGTGACCGCTTTACGACACACGAGGGCGCTGGTTTTCCAGAGAAAAGCTTCTAGCAGATGGCGGAAGGAGTGATAAGTGAAAGAAAAAACTACAGGAAGCAACAGAGTTCATGGTAAATGTGGTATTCACTTGTACTAATTGCAGTGCTCTCATACTTTTCCCCATTCCATTCCCAAGATTTCACCATTTAATTTTAGAAAGACTAACTAAAAGAGCCATTTTAGCATGATTAGATTTTCCATTTAGTTTCATCATTTGATGAAAAAAGGCAGTAGGTGTGAGCTCCCGAGACATTAACTGGCATTACGTGAGCCCTTCAGTGGACAGATAAACTAATTATTTAATGATTTTAGGTCTTACTCTGCCAAAGACACGACCTGCTTTACTCCTGATCAGCTCCAGACTGTCAGCATTCTTCTTCTGAGGCATCAGACTGCTGCCTGTGCTGCACACGCAAGTGAAGGTGAGAGGAAAAGAAGGTAAAGATGGAGGAGAAGTGAAAATGGAGGTAAACACATGCTTCAACAGAACAATAAAGAGTGAGCTTCATGAAAAGTAAAGTAAAGCAGGTCATAACATTTTGACAGCAGCCCTTAGACTCATGGGAGTCAAGATGTGCAATTTTATCATTTAGTACAATAGCGATATATTATTGTGTTTACACAAATATCAATGGAACAAAACCTCCATGTAAAAAATACTTTTATGTTTAAGTCCATCAACTATTAAGTCCTTAAACAAACATAAACACTTTTGTTTGAATTTTAAATAACACATGCATGCAAGACTCTACACCGGTCAGATCAGTTTGACAAAAAGGACTAATGTTAAGTATGTATATATATATATATATATATATATATTACTTAAAAATTAATTAATTAATAAATTAATCCAAAGTTGTTCAGGTGGTAGAAACATGTACAAACTGTAATTTAAGATCACATAATGAAACACAAACTGACCTGTAGGCGTCAGAGAGGGTGACGAAGGAGAACTCTTTGGTGCTGTACAGCATCAGATCCTCAGCCATCTTACTGAGATGGGTCAAACACAATGAAGCCCAGAACAAGAACTCCACTGAAGAAACATACATATAAGCAAACCTGAGAACACTTTAAACTCGAGAACACATAAAAAAGGAAAATACTTTCCTACAAATAATTTTCATCGTTCGTATACATTTCTGTAGCTGGCTGAAATGTTTGGTTTACGTACCGACAAAGTCCCTTTGGCCCGTGGCATCCATGCTGTTCAGACTGATGTCATCAAAGCCCAACTCTACAGATCCAGACGAGTAGAAATTATATAGTTTCAGTTTTTAAAAACACAAATGTCATAAATAAAACAAGACATAGGCCAAAGGCAGCTGTAACAAACGTGCTCTCAAACTCTTGTGAGAGGACAGTAATTAGTAACCTTTCCGCAGCAGCTCCCTGTCAATGTCAAATGGCGTCCCAGCGATGGCACCACTGCAAACAACAAGAATGCTTCTTATTATTTGATGTCTGAGGGTGAAAATCAGCTCCAGACAGTGAGTGTGTGTTCACAGCCGTACCTGCCAAGAGGTAAAACATTAACTCTCTTCTTGATCTCCTGAAGCTGGTCCACGTCTCTGCTCAGAGCCACAGCGTGACTGAAGGCGGGAGCGGGGAAAGAGAAGCAGGAGACCGACGTGAACGATACATCATCTAATATATAAAAAAGGTTGGAGGCGTTACAATGTAGGTTTTACTTTATAAAAGAGCACCTTAGAATCCAGTGGCTCCATCTGATTGGCTGAGCTCTCTGCATGTGAGTGTAACCAGGACACAGGACGTCGATTTCTCTGAGGTTCAGAAAAAGGTGACAGAGGACACCAAAGGGCGACTTTAGAGATGCACAATTACAAGTAGATGTGTGTGTGTGTGTGTGTGTGTGTGTTTGTGTGTACTAGTGTGTATCTGTCTTACACTGCTGCCCGCTCCACCATGGTAGATATCAGCTGTAGGGAATTGTCCGTCAGGGTTGAGATGGCATCTCGCAGCCACAGCCTCATGTCAGTCACGACCTGGTCAACACACACACACACACACACACACACACACACACACACACACACACACACACACACACACACACACACACACAGAGCACGGTCTCATGATACTTTATCAGCTAGTTCTTACACTGAAGTAATACACAGGCTGCAACCCCATAATAAATTAAATCATTAGAGTTTTAATACTGTAAAGACAAACCTGGTCATTTCTGCTCCTGCCAGTGTGCAGCTTCCCTGCAGGTGCATCAATCAGCTCCTGGAAAAACAGGCGGTAAAAAGGAGTATAACGTCTCTCATCAATGTCTGTCTCATTACTGAGTAGGAGGGCTCATTCATAGAAATGTCCCTTTCCACAAACTCCAAACTGCCATATTATATTCTTATGTGAAATACAGTTTTACTCACTCCTGCACAGTTACGAAGATCAAACTCTTCCTCACCTTCAGCCTGCGCTCATTGGCAGTGTGAATGTCTTCATCTCCAGGTTTGACCACAAAAACACCTTTGGACCACTCATCAGAAATCTGGACAACAATAAAAGAACATTAAGTAGACTAAATACAGACAATGTGTGTTCAAGTGCACTGAAATAGTTCTGCTTCGATACTTGTAAAGAAGCAGCACAATGAATTCTAGCTACATTTTGCATGTATTGGTCGCCTCATGTCTCTTGCATTGACAAAGCAAAAACATCCGTGTAGAGAGGGCACCCTGAAAACTGCCCCGACTGTGAGAGTGAATGAACTACTGGTTGGCAGCTGACATCTGTCACATGACGGTGGTATTGTTCACCACACACACACACACAGAGGAATTCTGCACCATGGCACATTTTCAGCTGTCATCTATTAACTTAACATATCTACACAGAAGAGCCAGACAGTGACACACACACATACCCACAATGCAGCAGGAGTGTATTCCCATGCAAGTATGAGAGGACTGTGATTAGAAAAGTACATAATGATTCAGCTCAGTCATTTTCTGCTGTGAACTTGGACTTAATGATTGTTTATTGTCCCTAAATTGAGTGTAGATCTGTGTGTGTGTGTGTGTGTGTGTGTGTTCACCTGATCCAGCCCTTGCAAAATCTGGTTCATCTCATCCGCGGTGACCAGCTTGGCCTTTTCCAGAGCTTTCACGTAAGCCTTGCTCCCTCGGATGTCAGCATCCCACATCCTCTGGTCGTAAGCGATGGACGCGTTGAACTTCTCCATGACGGGATCAGTGTCCCCCACGAACCGACCCCCCCAAAGTTTACTCCCCTAGTGAGGAGCAGAGGATAGGGGAGGTGAGATAATACAGCATTGAGGAGGAGAGAGTTTGACAGGTAGCCACCAGCTGGGTGTTAGAACAACAACACGTGGAGGCCGGTACTCGGGCTTCCTGGAGCTAAACGTGAACCGTACCTCTGTGTTGGCCATGTCTGTCGACGACCTGCTGCCTGTTGCGGTTCTGCCTGGTGAAATGTGTGTGGTTGTTTTTTTATGGGACCAGAGAAAAAAAAAAACACGCTGACTCCCACAGCTGGCAGTACAGGAGCACAGGAGGAGCTCAGGCCGGGGCGTGAGAGGCGAGAACGAGGCTCCCACTAAAGATGTCTGTACCGCTTTAAAAGACGTCACTGAAGACGTTCGACGCTTACGTAAATACGTAAGGTTGTAAATACGGTGCTTTTATTTTTTTACGTGTATTGTTTCTGATTTTACACTTTTTATATGGAAATGTATTGTGTTGTGGCTGGTTTTTTTTCTCTACCAAAATTAAAATATAATATAATTATAGATAATTATTATAATTATTATTATAAATCTAGGTTTTTACTTTTATAACGCTTTTATTATTATTATTATTATTATAATGTTTTATATTTAAAGTGAAATCAAACAAATACATTACTCCCATACTCAGCAGAAAACCTTTTATTTATTTACATTCTACAACTTATTTAATCAATTATTTCTGTCTCTCCTTCCTGGCATTGTTTGTTCATTTATTGTTAATCTTTACCAGATGTTAATAAAGTTTCTTTTATTTTTTTTAAGACAGTAGTGGGTGTCCGTGTCCGGATGAGGCGGAGCATCTAACGGCGGCAAATTTGACCGACGACTACTCCGCAAACCTTTAAAAAGTCACGTTTTTTCCACAAGTTTTTGGTAAGTTCAAGATAAATGCACTTTAATCTTCACTTTATTGGTTGAATCTGCAAATTATTGTCCTCTAATCTTGTAACAACTTTCTTTTTCGTCGTGTGGAGGAATCTGCAGTTTATGGCTGCGTGCATTATACAGCTAAAATATGAATATGAGATATAGAGGAACTATAAGTTATAGAAATACATGAAACAAAAGCGATATACTGCATATTGCACACAAGTTATGTTAAGTGCGATGTTTTCCTCTGGTATCACTGTGCTCAAAGTGAGTTTTCCTGTATCGGATTAAGGAAGGAAGCCATGTTGTGATCGTGAAAAAGACATTTTAGAAAGCTCCAGGGCCGTAAACAAGGCTGAGAGTACAGCTGACACTGATATAGAGGAAGAACAGCGTCGTCAACAACAACAACAACAACAACACTTTGAATACATTCAAGTTACAGTGTAATTTATTTACATGCTGCTCAGAGTACAACTCCCTTTCTCCTTTTCTCTTTTTCTTTATCTCTCATGCAGGAGTCAAACTGTGTGATTGTGCAAAAATCATGATTTAGTACTTTTTTTTTCATGTTTTACCTGGAACACCCTCGAGAAAGTCTTAAATTTAAGATAAGATGTACCTTTATTGGTAATTACACACAGCAGCATTGGGGAATGTAGTGCAACGAGTACAGAGGTGTACAAGTACAAAAGGATCACAAAATAAGTACATTACAAAATATAATAGCAAAATATAAAACTATAAATAGAAATACATATATATATAAATAGAAATATATATATATATACTATTTGCAATGTGCAGTACAGTGGTGTGCACAATATTTTAAGCAGCTTTTTATTTATATTTTAAGAAACTGTACATGTGCAACTTAAAGATAAATAGTATATTATAGAAGTGTAATTGAATTAAAACCAGTCTTAGTCAGCAGGGGTTGGAGTTACTGGGTGCTGGCCTTCCTCACCAGCTTGCTCAGCTTGTTGTTACCTCTCCCTAATCACAGTTTCAGATAGTTCAGCCAAGGACTCCTTTTCCTTTCTCTTCTACACAAATCTAGTGCGTGTGTGTGTGTGTGTGTGTGTGTGTGTGTGTGTGTGTGTGTGTGTGTTTCCAAACTGTCTTTGACCAATGTGTTTTTCTCCATTTACTTTTCATACAGTTTTGCTGTTTGTCGAAAATTATCAAATAATCAAAATAAATATAATATTCATATAAATATACTAAATGAGTGTACTCCATGTGAACTGTAAAACCTTAGACATTAATCACATTTCTTTCCCCTTGTAGGTAAAGACCACATTAAACATGGGTCCGAAATTAGAGCGCCGTATTGAAGGACCGATGGACAAATTTATCACGGTACATCTTTACAATAACTCAAAGAATTGTATTTATTACTTATTACTTATTGCTCATTACTCATTACTCTTTTCAAAAGTAATATTATTACTTTACTTATTACTCCCTGCCAACAGTATTTGGTTACACTCGTAGTTACATTACTTTTGATTATTTTGTTGTTAAAATCAAAGTAATGGTTTCCATCTTCTAAAACTAGTTTCCTCCACAATTACAAAGATGAATCCAGGGATGTGATTGTATTGCTGGATTTCAAATTAGTAGGAGGGTGCAAACAAAGTAATATTGTAATTCATTATTTTTCGGGGGGTAACTGTAATATTATTACTGAAATGAGTTAGTTACACAGCTAGTTACTGTTACTGTGGTAAGTAATGTTATTACTGTTATATTATTACTAGTAATGAGTCACTGCCCAGCAATGACAACAACATTGGGATTTGTGAGACTATGATTGATATGGATTTAATCAATCATCAATCAATTATCCGTTTATATCTTATCAGGGAAATAAATGCAAACAAATAACTACATGTTTTAAGTGTTAAGCATACATTCTGTAATATATTGCTATCATTAACATTTCTGCCTGTTATCTCAAGAAAAACATGAAAGGGGAAAGCAGCCAGCCTCCTGATTTACATTCTGCTGCTAAGGTTTGTCATATTTAATTTTATATCTGTTGACAAAAGTTATAGATGGTATTCACAGACGTAACGTTTTAATCTGAATATTTGAGGCACAACTTTTGTTAGACGATTTCTTTTAAATTAGAAGCACATGTTTCTGTTTCTGTGTCAGCCCTGTGGTACGCCACCACCTTCTCAGGCGTGTCGTATGCCCCTCGCCCAAAGGCAGCAAGAATCAGTTCCAGCCCCCCGCCACCCTCTGGATAAACAGGTAGAGCTAATGAATGAATGAATGTTTAAGAGTGGTTTTGCTTTTTCAGAGTTGTACTGTAATTAAATTAAACAAGTTTTAATTGTGTTTCATTCCTAGAAAGAGGAGCCACATACAACCCATACTTTTGAGTGGTGCTGGAACGACAAGAAATTCAATGTGACCTGCAATAAAGCAAGAACTGTTGAGGAGTTGCTGAAGAGAAGCCCACAGTTTAAAGAAATTGCAGAAAAGAACAAAAACAAAGAGCTTGTTATTGTAAGAGAAGGGAAAGCTATCAGTTCACACTTTCCATGCAGCTTAATTAAGAATGAACGTCTGACTGTCAAGTATGTTAAAGCTGTAGACAGGGAGAAACAATCGTTGGGGGGATATTGTGACCCCGTTGTTCTGCGGAGAAAGGGGCCATCTAGCGAGCTTGTGATGTTTCACGTGCAGACAAAGGGAGGTACAAATGTAGCAAAAATCATGAGAAACCCAGCAATAAAAATTGAGTTTCAGAAAATTACTGTTTACGCATACAAAGGGGAAAAAGTGAAGCAAGCTCTGAAAAGAGACGGCCGTTTACGTGATATTGTATTCAAAAAGAACTGTGCGCTCTCTCACAAAAGCACTGATGTAACCACTGAAATGTCCAGTCTCGTTGATGATCTTGATGGTAAAACCTTCAAGATCATTCTGCTCAATAAGTCTACTCCACCAGAAAGTCAGCCCGGTAGTCTCGATGACGCTTACATGATACAAAATGAATCTCTGAACTCTGAATCTGACAGAAACCAAGATCCTCCACAGGAGTCTGCCACAACTGAGTCAGTGAATAGCAACACACCAAAAGAGAAACTAAAAGTAAATGATAATATGACAGCAGAAAGAAATCAAATCATGCAGCAGCACCTGTCCTCACAGTTTAAAGGTTTGATTAAAGGCCTGAAAACCCCTCAATCTAAGCTTTCCCGTATCCAGAATTACTTCCGTGTGGAGTTTGGGAAGAATGCTCAAACATGTGCAGAAGTAAAAACAATGAAGAAACTGATGAAACTCAGTGATTCAGTTTGCCATGTGAGAGTAAATGGGAGACCAGAAGGGAGTGGCTTTCTCTTGTTTGACAAGTTTGTCCTCACAAATGGCCATGTAATTAATAACATTTATAATGAGACTAGAAGGCAGCTTAATGAGACAGTCACTGTCCATTTCTCTTATGAAAGTCTAGACCAGAAGGAGGGAGGGCAAGACTCAGGATCAAAAGTGGAAGAGGTCACTGGCTTTGAGTACTGTCCTGGTGAGTCTGACTGGGCTTTGTTAAGGCTGGGTGATGGTCAGACATTGCCCGATGGTCTGTTAGCACACTTTGGATTCCTTCCCAAGAGTGGTGGGATTTGCATTATTGGGCATCCTGATGGTGGTGTGAAAAAAATAGACCCGTCTTCGATTGTTCCGACTGATAACCGCAACCAGGTTGTGGAGAGGCATTACCTTGAAAACCAAGGACCCTTTCAGTTGGTTACTCCCCGTTTCTTTCAGAGTGTTGCAGAATCTGTTAAGGAACAGAGACAGGTCCTAACTTATCAGTCTAATTCTTATCATGGCTCATCTGGCTCTCCTGTCTTTGACGAGCACTGTAATGTTGTTGCAATGCATACAGGGGGGTATCCCTACCCCGATGCAAGGGGCGAAACCCAGAGTGTGATAGAGTATGGTCATCCTTTGTCCGTCATTATCGTACGCTTTATTGTCCAGTTAGTGGAAAGAGGACGGTTTGATGTGTTGAAAAAATACCTCTCTTGCAGTTATGTGCGACACCAAAACCTGATGAGTGATTTGAAGAAACTGGTCGAGAGCAGAAATCTCACAGCATTTAAAAATGCAGTTAACAATTCAGCGGTCACAAATGACGAAAGTTTGAAGGAGTTCTTTGAATTTATCTCTCAGAAAGAGGAACCTGTCCCAATGGACATAGATTGAGCGTACACAGATAGTTATAAAGCTAACTGCTGACAAAAGCAGAGCATTTTGAGCTTTAAGGTCTTTGTTTTCATATATCAGGATACTTCTCTCATTGTTTTGAAAACATTATCAGTTTTAGGATAAAGGGAACTATGCTTTACTCAAAAGTCATTTGTAGCCACATGTTTGTATCTTTAAATGCAAATTTTTATTGTGGTTTGTTAATTTTCTTTGTTAAGCAACTATCATATTGTTGTACTGAAATATAAGCCAGACTGATGAATGAAACAGACAGCATTATCTGTTGTCAGATAACAAGAAATCGCAGTACAGAAATGAGGCAATATGGAAGCAGTGTCTTGATTACAAAGTTTGTCCACCAGAGAGCATAGATTATGAAGTCTTTTGTTCAGAAATGTTTGTTTATAAAAACATGTTATCTGATTTTTTTATATACCAATATCAGCTTCCATTATCTTTCTGGCTTTAATTTCTACATTTTTATCTTCTTCTTTTGGCTGTTTTTAAGAAAATCTTATTTTAACAACAATTGTATAATATTGCATATCGCAATATCCTGTCATTGTTTTTATATCGCTGTCTTGGGACTGTATCTTGAAAATGAGAAGTGGGATTACATAAGGATCTTAACTGGTTAAATCATGTTATTACTTAAAAAATCTGTTTTAACAATATTCAATAAAAGCATCTCTGGAGAGAAACAACCTGCAACAGAAGTGCTGTGTGATTGTTGGGAATAATCAAAACAACAAAAATGTAAAAGATATATATATATATATATGGGCCAAATACTGTGTGGGGTAATGTTCCTCCATGAATATTTCCAGTACCAAATGTGAACTTCTGGAGCAGGAGAGATAATGGATTAAAAATAATGTAGATAGTAGGTATTTGGTTCAAGATTATATGAAGAGAAATTATTATAATTTTAAGACTAAACTATAGATTATTTGTGTTAACAGCAGAAATAATTGCAGTTATTTTAGGATTACAATAGAAGAGGAAAGGACTTATAGAGTTCTCATTAAACTCTACTACAGCTCTTAATAATTTGAATTCTAAAGAAACAAGAGATGATTTATTGATGGAAATTGATATGAAAATGCTGAGAATAAGTGAAATCGATATAGCTATAGTTTTGTTGGGTTCCTGCTCATGTTGGTGTGGAGAGTAATGAGAAAGCTGATGCAATTTCAAAGAGATTGTTGGAATTAAATGATGAAATCATTAATGTTCCCTTTGGAAAAGATCAAATCATTAATAAAGAAGACAGTGAGAGATTCGTGGCACTGGCAAAAGAAGTGGAGCACAGATACCAAAGGGCGATACTATTACAGCATACAGAAATCGATTACGGTGAAGGCAGTGTAGAAAAGAGGACATGGTTTGGTCAAGATTAAACACCAGGACATTTTGGATCAGTTTACAGGAATGTAGTGACGAGAATCCAGCTAAAACGGTGCTACAAGAATGCTGGGAGCATAATTTAAGGGTAATGGTTTTGGCTGCAGACCTAAAATCAAACCAGAAGAATATGGCCTGAAAGAAAATGCATTTTAGCTCCCCAACCCCTGTAAGTGCTGTTCCCCTGTGGCTATTCCCAAACATTGAAGTAGATTTCAAAATAATGGAATTAAGGAAGGAATGGGTGGAAAACAAATTGTAATAACTGTAAATCCAGGTATATACTTTGGACAATCTTCATCAGTTAACTTCAATAATTTCTTCATCTAAGCCATTAACCTGTCTCTTAGACCCCATCCCAACTAGGATGCTTAAAGAAGTCTAACCCCTAGTTGGCACTTCTTTACTAGGCTTAATTGAACCCTCTTTTGTGAGTTAAAGAAGAAACTCTGGCAAAGTGTTAAATGTTTAACTATTTCAAAAGTGTTAATTAACTCTGGAGAGTGTGGAGCTATATAAACCCTGAAAAGGTGTTGAAATGAACTCTGTGGGAGTTATCCCTTCTTAAAAAGCCCACTCTTGACCCAGGGGTTTTAGCCAACTAAAGACCGATCTCTAACCTCCCCTTCCTCTCTAAAATTCTGGAAAAAGTACTTGTCGAATAGTTGTGTGACTTTCTACATAACAATAGCTTATTTGAGGATTTTCAGTCAGGATTTAGAGTTCATCACAGCACAGAGACAGCTCTGGTTAAAATTAATAACCTTTTGATTACTTCAGACAATGGACTTGTCTCTGTACTTGTATTATTAGATCTTACTGCTGCATTTGACACCATTGACCATAATATTCTATTACAGAGACTTGAGCATCTAATTGGCAATAAAGGAACCGCATTAAGCTGGTTTAAATCCTATTTATCAGATCGTTCTCAGTTTGTACACGTTAACGATGAATCTTCAATAAATACTACAGTTAGTCGTGGAGTTCCACAAGGCTCTGTGCTTGGACCAATTCCATTTACCTTATATATGCTTCCCTTAGGCAACATTATTAGTAATCACTTCTTTAACTTTCACTGTTATGCAGATGATACCCAGTTATATATATTAATCAAGCCTGATGAAATGAATCAATTAGCTAAATTACAAGTATGCCTTAAGAACATAAAAACCTGGATGTCCCCAAACACCTCTAAAATTCATTATTTAAAGATATAGTTACTTTAGATGGTATAGCCTTGGCCTCCAGCATCACCGTCAGTAATATTGGAGTTATCTTTGATCAGGATATGTCCTTTAACTCCCACAAAAAGCAAACCTCTAGGACTGCCTCCTTTCATCTAAGTAACATTGCAAAAGTCCGACACATCCTGTCACAAACAGATACAGAAACACAAATCCATGCATTTGTTACTACTAGGCTGGATTACTGCAATTTCTTATTATCATGTTGCCATAAGTCCATTAAGATGCTACAATTGATTAAAAATGCTGCAGCACGAGTACTGACAGGAACAAGGAAAAGAGATCACATCTCTCCTATATTAGTTTCTCTGCATTGGCTCCCTGTAACATTCAGAATAGAATTTAAAATCCTCCTCCTCACCTATAAAGCTCTTCATGGTCAGGCCCCTTCATATCTTAAAGAGCTCATAGTACCCTATTACCCCACTAGAACACAGCACTCTCTGAATGCAGGGCTACTTGTGGTCCGTATAGTCACTAAAAGTAGAACAGGAGCCAGAGCCTTCAGTTACCAAGCTCCTCTCCTGTGGAACCAGCTTCCAGTTTTGGTTCAGGAGGCAGACACCCTCTCCACATTTAAGAGTAGGCTTAATCACTTCAATAATATAGTTTTCTCTCTCTGTTTCCTTATCTCAACCGTAGTCATGCCACAGTTTGGAGGATCATCTCCGCAACCAGCAGGATCAACAACCATACCACCAATCCATAGCTTCTACATCACCATGGATAAGCATCTCATTTCATGCCAGGCAAACCACTCCCTTGAGCCATTTGATGGACATTTCAAAGCACATTTTGTTTTTAATTTGTATGATTTATATGACGATATGATTGTGCATTGTTTTACACATGAAAAGGCAAAATAAATGTTATTTTTGAAAATTATTGAGAGTATTGTAATTAAGTGTTATAATTAATATTTAATTTTTTCAGTGTAGATTTTACACTTCATGGGGAGTAAAATGAACTCCACCCAAATAGTAAAACATGTAACTCAGAGCGGTGTTATGTCGTATCACTCAGTGTTAGTTTAACCCTCTTTTGCGAGTTAAAGAAGGAACTCTAGCAAAGTGTTAAATGTTTAACTATTTCAAGAGTGTTAATTTAACTTTGGAGAGTGTGGAGCTATACAAACCCTGAAAAAGTGTTGAAATCAACTCTGTGGGAGTTAATTCAACACTCGGCTTTTTGCTGTGTAGGTGCCGTTATGCAACGTCAGTAAATTATGCAATCTGCCAATAAATGAAAACAAGCAGTACAAGAACGGGGTGAGGCGCTATCAGCAGTAATCCAGCCTAGTAGCTATCAGGTGGGCGCTATGCCTATAAGGCATAGGTCCGTGTATGTTTTGGTCATTGGATTTTCCTTTCAGAAACGGGTATTAAAAAACAGAAAACGAGTGGTTATTTGATTTTCGTTTTAAAATACAAAAATTAAAATTGAAATACAAGGCGTTTTTCTTTTTCATGGTCAGAAAGGTACGGAGCCCCTAAAGGGACATGGGAAAAAAAAAAAAAGGAAACGTATCTAGTGCTCACTAGATAGTATCTAGTGCGCACTAGATACGGATCTCGTGAGAAACCACGGATCTCGCGAGAAACCTTACATTAAGCACAGGCAGTTGTGCTTCCTGTGCATATGCCTCTAGGCTCATTAAGATCTTAACCTCAAAGAATGGCTGCAGAAGTGGACTTATTCTCTTTCACACAGAAACACAAACCGAAATGCAGTGGATGGTCTCTCAGACATCATGCCCGCACGAGAGCGGTATCTAGTGCTCACTAGATCCGTATCTAGTGAGCACAAGATACTATCTAGTGCGCACTAGATAGTATCTTGTGCTCACTAGAAACGTTTCTTTTTTTTTTTTTTTCATGTCCCTTTAGGGGCTCCGTAGAAAGGGATGAGCGAAATTTAAAAAAATATTCGATTTTCATTTTCTATTTCATATAACAAAAGTAAAATCACTAGAAAACAGAAACAGAAAAAAGGCCTGTTGTTTCATATTCTGAGACCGGATGTTGTCATTAACAGGACGGTGCTGTGGAGAAGAAACAGTAGGCTAGTAGACTGCGGTCAATCCAGCCGTGAGTCCGATCTCCGTGGTCAAATCAGCCGCACTTAAATTTAGAGTGTACAAGTATTCTCAGCATTATGGTAATGCGGAGAAACAGCGTATTTACTTCCGGTTTTCAAAATAAAGGTATTTAGAGCCGTAAACTATATCAAAATATGTTACATTAAAGTGTCTCATGCGCCCCTGATGAATAAAAAAACCCTTTATATCAAGTATCTTTACTGCACCAGTGTGGAGAAATGCCAAAATAAAAGACTCATATTTATGCCTCCAGAGATTGCATATTTGACCATATTTGAGGTACTGTAAAAACATATTGCTCAGTGTTTCCTGGCTACTGATGGTATATTTGACTTTTACACATATGAGACTACAAACATACTTAATATCAAGCATTTTTACTGTACCAATTTGGAGAAATTCAACAATAAAAGTCCATATTTGTACCTCCAAGTTGTATTTTCATGTATTTGAGCTACTGTAAAAACACATTGCTCAATTATTCCTGGCTATGGATGATATATTTGACTTCTACACATCAAAGACTACAAGTATACTTAATATCAAGCATTTTTACTGTACCAATGTGGAGAAATTGAAGAATAAAAGTCCCATATTTATACTTCCAGATTTCATATTTTCTTATATTTGAGCTACTCGAATATTTTTTTTAATTTCGCTCATCCCTTTCTGACCATGAAAAGAAAAACGCCTTGTATTTCAATTTTAATTTTTGTATTTTAAAACGAAAATCAAATAACCACTCGTTTTTCTGTTTTTTTAATACCCTGAAAGGAAAATCCAATGACCAAAACATACACGCCCCACCCCGTTCTTGTACTGCGGTCAAGCCAGCCGTACCTGAGAAGACGATACACCTCTGTTGGCTTGGTAGCATTAAAAGAAGCTTAGTTAGCTTTTGTAAAGCACAGGGACTGGCTGTTTGATCACGTTTTTGGTAAGTTAAAGAGATAAATAGTCTTTGTATCGGATAAAGATGCAACAACATTAATAGCTATGGTCTTTATTGAGTCCTGAAGCATTTAGTTTATTTCACAGGAAAGTTATTCAGTGTTTGACACACACAGATTTATTTGGTCGGGCCGCCGGAATATTTTAATGGCCAGAGACTCGTTTTAGTATTTTGCAGAGAAACAATGTGAATGTTTTACAAGCACAGATCAGGTAAAGCAACAGTTTCGTTTTTGATAGGTGACATCATTAACATGGAGGTTCAGCTGCTGCTGTGAAAACGGATTCAAAACGTGAGTTGTGTTTCTTGGGCGACTTTATAATGTAACAGGGGAAAGCCCTTTAAACAAACAGCACAATTTATACCTTAGGTAGAGCACTTAACAGATGAAGGATAACACCAGGATACATTTTTACAATTTATTTCTGACACTTATTTCTGACAACTATAAAAACAATGCTGTTTCATAGACCTCCTATACATCATAAACACTACTACAACCCAGGTTAAAACAATAAAACTAGGTTAGTTTAAACAAACTCCAAATAAAACAGGTATTATCCCGCTGTACTATTTACAATAAAATTTAGTGCTGACCAACAAAGTAACAGAGCAGACATAAGGCTTTTAATGTTGTTGCTTTAAGTCATTAGATATTCACCATACTTCTTTGCCTTTTCCTGTAGGTAAGCTACTACAGCACCTTTTCAGCATCATTAATATTCAGCTGGAAACATCACATTAAAAATGGAACCAAAATCGAAGCCCAAAAGTGAAGGATCAATGGACAAATCTTTGAAGGTACCAATTTTCTCCAATGTAATAAATGTTATACCGAAGTCTTATCAGTTCATGTCAAGCTGTTTCAAATTAATTTACATATGTTTACAACAACATTTGGATTTGTGAGACTATGATTTATACAGATTTGTCCATTTTTCATCCAGCTGTATATATCCTATCAGGGAAATACATTTATACATAATATACACAAAAACCACATGTATTAAGTCTTAAGCATGCATTCTGTCTGTTATCTCAAGGAAGAAGAAGACTGCCAGAAAGGGGAAAGCAGCCAGCCTCCTCTTTTACAACCTGCTGCAATGGTTTGTCATATTATATTTTATAACTGTGTTGGCAAATAAAATGTATACATAGTCTACACAGTGACTAATTCTTCTTGTTTAACTTTTGGGGCACATTTCTTGTTTTTGTTAGATAGAATTTTGTTTATATAGGAGCACATGACAAAAACAAAGTTAGTATGTGTTTACATTTAACAAGGATAGTTATTGAATAAATGGATGGTTTAAGGGAGGTATTGCTTCAGTCAGTCAAGTGCCTTGTTGCATTAAATGGGACTGTGTTTTATTCCTAGGAAGAGGAGCCACATACAACCCATACTTTTGAGTGGTGCTGGAACGACAAGAAACCCACGACTGTGACCTGCAATAAAGCAAGAACTGTTGAGGAGTTGCTGAAGAGAAGTTCACAGTTTAAAGAAATTGCAGAAAAGAACACAGACAAAGAGCTTGTTATTTTAAGAGAAGGGAAAGCTATCAGTTTACACTTTCCATGCAGCTTAATTAAGGATGAACGTCTGACTGTCAAGTATGTTAAAGCTGTAGGCAGGGAGAAACAATCGTTGGGGGGAAATTGTGACCATGTTGTTCTGGGGCCGTCTAGCGAGCTTGTGATGTTTCATGTGCTGACAAAGGGAGGTAAAAATGTAGCACAAATCATGAGAAACCCAGCAATAAAAATTGAGTTTCAGGAAATTACTGTTTACGCATACAAAGGGGAAAAAGTGAAGCGCGCTCTGAAAAGAGACGGCCGTTTACGTGATATTGTATTCAAAAAGAACTGTTGCCTCTCTCACAAAAGCACTGATGTAACCACTGAAATGTCCAGTCTCGTTGATGATCTTGATGGAGAAATCTTCAAGATCATTCTGCTCAATAAGTCTGCTCCACCAGAAAGTCAGCCCGGTAGTCTCGATGACGCTTACATGATACAAAATGAATCTCTGAACTCTGAATCTGACAGAAACCAAGATCCTCCACAGGAGTCTGCCACAACTGAGTCAGTGAATAGCAACACACCAAAAGAGAAACTAAAAGTAAATGATAATATGACAGCAGAAAGAAATTGTGAAATACCCAATTCAAAAACCATGAAGGATTACCTGTCCTCACAGTTTGAAAGTTTGGTGAAAGGCCTAAAAACCCCTCAATCTAAGCTTTCCCGTATCCAGAATTTATTCCGTGTGGAGTTTGGGAAGAATGCTCAAACATGTGCAGAAGTGAAAACAATGAAGAAACTGATGAAACTCAGTGATTCAGTTTGCCAGGTGAGAGTAAATGGGAGTCCAGAAGGGAGTGGCTTTCTCTTGTTTGACAAGTTTGTCCTCACAAATGGCCATGTAATGAAAGTATATGATGAGACTACAAGGCAGCTTAATGAGACAGTCACTGTCCATTTCTCTTTTGAAAGTCTAGACCAGCAGGAGGAAGGGCAAGACTCAGGATCAAAAGTGGAAGAGGTCACTGGCTTTGAGTTCGGTCTTAATGAGTCAGGGCAAGAGTCTGACTGGGCTTTGTTAAGGCTGGGTGATGATCAGACATTGCCCAATAGTCTGTTAGCACACTTTGGATTCCTTACCCGCAGTAAAGGTATTTGCATTATTGGGCATCCTGATGGTGGTGTGAAAAAAATAGACCCATGCTTGATTGTTCCAACTGATAACCGCATCCAGGTTGTGGAGAGGCATTACCTTGAAAACCAAGGACCCATTCAATGTGTTACTCCCCGTTTCTTTGAGAGTGTTGCAGAATCTGTTGAGAAACGGAGACAGGTCCTAACTTATGAGTCTTGTTTTTATTTTTTCTCATCTGGCTCTCCTGTCTTTGACGAGCACTGTAATGTTGTTGCAATGCATACAGGGGGGTATGCCTACCCCGATGCAAGGGGCGAAACCCAGAGTGTGATAGAGTATGGTCATCCTTTGTCCGTCATTATCGTACGCTTCATTGTCCAGTTAGTGGAAAGAGGACGGTTTGATGTGTTGAAGAAATACCTCTCTTGCAGTTACGTGCGACACCAAAACCTGATGAGTGATTTGAAGAAACTGGTCGAGAGCAGAAATCTCACAGCATTTAAAAATGCAGTTAACAATTCAGAGGTCACAAATGACGAAAGTTTGATGAAGTTCTTTGGATTTATCTCTCAGAAAGAGGAACCTGTCCCAATGGACATAGATTGAGCGTACACAGATAGTTATAAAGCTAACTGCTGACAAAAGCAGAGCATTTTGAGCTTTAAGGTCTTTGTTTTCATATATCAGGATACTTCTCTCATTGTTTTGAGAACATAATCAGTTTTAGGATAAAGGGAACTATGCTTTACTCAAAAGTCATTTGCCACATGTTTGTATCTTTAAATGTTAATTTTTATTATGGTTTGTTAATTTTCTTTGTTAAGCAACTATCATATTGTTGTTCTGAAAGCTCATGTATATTATATTTGTGTTTTTTAATTCTGTGTTTACAGCAAATATCACTGCAGTGGTTGGATTTCTTATAGAGCCAGACTGATGAATAAAACAGACAGCATTATCTGTTGTCAGATAACAAGAAATTGCAGTACAGAAATGCAAAACATACTCTATGTTTGACAATGAGGAAATATGGAAGCAGTGCCTCTATTACATAGTTTGTCCACCAGAGAGCACAGATTATAAAGTGTCTTGTACAGAAATGTTTGTTTCTAAAAACATGTTCTAAATCCATCTTGCTTTAATTTTTATTGTTTTTAATTATCTGTTTTTAAGAAAATCACCTTGAGATTTTGATTTCATCTTATTTGAACAACAATTGTATAATATTTGATAATATTCTGTCATTGTTCTTATATCGCTGTCTTGGGAATGTATCTTGAAAATGAGAAGTGGGATTTCTTAACTGGTTAAATCATGTCATTACTTTTAACAAATGAATGATGATTCATCAATAATCAATAAATAAATCATATTTAGATAATGAATGTTTTTTCTTTGTCTTCTTACCAACAGCATAAATATATAAATAAAAGGTCAAAAGTCAAACACCACAGATGGAAACTGATGCCTGATAGTAAAACTATTTTCTCATGAACAGAATGACAGAAAACAAACATAGTGTGGAGGACAGTTCAAAAGAAGAAGTAATAAGACAAAACGTTTTCTTTCATTGAAAATAAATAATAAAAGAAGCGGAACGCTAGCTTGCTGGCGGCGGAACCTTGAACCCGGACACTTTTGCAACGGACCACATCTGAATAGCGAAATGGAAGTGTGAGTTTTTGTTATTGATATTTTATTCCGTCTGTACAGTATTTTGCACAGTGAGGTTGTTATTTGGTAGCTGCGTATTTTGTATTTTAATCGCCAAATATCGTCGTTAAAAGCCACAACAGCTAACGTTGTTACACCAACAGCAGTTTCCGGTTTCCGCGAAACGAGTTTAACGTTAACGACACATTACGTAATGTTTAAGTTATAATACACTTAATATGCTTTAAACACAAAATGGTTTAGTGGTAATTGACATAAACCTTTAATCTGTTTGGGTTTTGGACCTTTTTGTTTAATGTGCTTATAATGTGTGTGTGTGTGTGTGTGTGTGTGTGTGTGTGTGTGTAACATTGTCTGACATTATAGACTCATTGATTAGTTGATCATGAAATAATGATAAAGATACTGTTTCTTAGTGCACCCTGTGTACTTGCATATATTACAGTTTTATGTTAATTTACAGCTGTATGTAAAAGTCTGTAAATAACATTTTGGTGACTATTCATTGAAAATATGTAAACACAGCCTCATGAGGTTAAGGGACATAAAACACGATATTTACAGCAAACATTCATGCATTGTTTTGTTTTATTTACCCTTAGTCATCTGGGTGAAACAGTAACATCCACCCCGACTCTTACAAACATCCCTTTGCTGACTGTGGCCAAAGAGTCCTATTTTAACTTCATTAGCACTTATTTCCACATCAGGCTTCTACAGATGTTCTGTTGCATATTCCTGACGTTAAATGTTATAATGTGGACACAGGTCAGGTTTTCTTCTACTGACTCTTCCATGAAGCTTTTGTTTGCACAAGCAGCTCTGGACAGAGTCTTACACAGCTGCTTAGAGGAACCCCTGGTTGGTGAGAGTTCACACAAGGTCCGAAGAGTGTGTTTGTGAAGCTTTTTAAATTGGCACCAGCTGATGCTTTCTAATCACAGTTGTCTTCTCTTAGGTTGCCCAAAACCTTTGCACACACCACAAAGATGTTTTTATTTTTGTTCAATTTATAAAATAAAACTAAACAATGCATGAATGTTTGCTGCAAATATTGTGTTTTATGTCCATAAAACAGCCTCTCAAGTGGGCTGTGTTTACATCACCAGTTGGGTTATTTGTCAAGGTGTGGCCAAACTTTTGCCTGCATCTGTAACTCTCATCATAACTCTTATGTTTATGTAACCAAACTAATATAAGCTCAAAAGTTGGGCGCCCGGTTAGCTCAATCGGTAGAGCTGGTGACCCATGTACTGAGGCTGAGTCCTTGCTGCTGCGGCGGCTCCAGGGTTCGAATCCAACCTGCGTGTCATCCCCTCTCTTTCTGCCCCCCTTTCTTGTCTGTCTTCAGCTATCATTATCAAATAAAGGCAGTCAAAAGCCCAAAAATATAAGCTCAAAAGTCCACCAAACAATCTTTCAAAAGCCACCTCACTTCATTCAGCGACTGGAGGTGAAGACTATGAGATTTGGTTAAATTGACCTTTTGACCTTAGATTATTTTGTTACATATATACAGTTCCCAGAGGTCAAGAATGAAACCTAAACATGACTTATCTTCTTCTCTTCAGGAAAAATGCTAATGCTGCTATGCTCAGTAACTATGAGGTAAGATAATGTGTTATGTCCCACTGGTCAATCTTCTGGTACTGTCCAGTCAAAAGATAATAATAATAAATAATCGTGTGTCACTCCATGTTTGTCTGTCTGTGTGTTTCTCAGGTGTTCAAACTCCTTACAGACCTGAAGGAACAAAGGAAGGACAGCGGGAAGAACAAACACAGCACCGGGCAGCAGAACCTCAACACCATCATGTATGAGGTCGGCTCACGTCCTCTCCCTCTCCTTACGGACTTAAACCTGCTCTATCTGTGTCTGCTGTGCCAAATGTGCGCTTTAAATTGCAGCAGTTTACCCACAGTTTCTTCTGCATTTCCAAACAGACGCTGAAGTACCTGTCGAAGATGCCCTGCAGCAGACAGAGTCCAGAGATTGTCAAAGAGTTCCTCACCACCATGATGCCTCACAAGCTCACAAAGTCAGTGAGCTCTCACAAAGGCATAGATGTTAGATTACATAAGATGCACATTATTTTTTATATATTTTTTTAGATGATCATGTGTCCATGTGTACTCTTTGAATGTACTGTTCTGAACACAATATACTCATTGATATTTTTCCCCTATCAGGGCAGAAAAACTGCAGCTATTGAACCACCGGCCACAGACAGCAGTGGAAATTCAGCTAGTGAGTGTCAACAATTAAATTATTATTACTTTCTTTATCTGTTATTCACTACTGGTGTTCATTTTCATGACTATTTAACACATTTCATGTGGTGTATATATAAGGTAGTGTGGCATTTAATCAGACTTGCTTAAAGGATATAACTAATGATATTCTACTTTCTTTTTTATTATTTATTTATAAGCCCAAAATTAACAATTAAATAATCTCACTAACATATATTGTTTGTGTATAAAACAATTTTGGACACATCAGTGAGCCTCACTGTCACACGGCTCTGCGGTTTACGCTGGAAATATTAATTAGAGCACCAAATGTGTATTAATCCGCAGGTGAAAATAGTCCCCAACAAATGCACTATTTACTCCTGTTTGAGTTGTCAGCTTTATGCCAAGACCCAATCTAGAGCCAGTGTTTGGTTTGTCCATTCTGGGCTACTGTAGAAACATGGCAGACTCTGTAGAAGAAGACCTGCTCCCTCCTGTCGATAAAAACAGCTCATTCTAATCTAAGGTAACAAAAACACAACAATTCTCGTTTTCAAGTGATTATACAGTAATGAAAACATCCATATGAATATTATATTTGATTTCTGACAATAGTTCTTCCTAAATGTTACACACTGAGCGCCACAGACAGGATGGGGGAAGTAGTGAGAAACATGGGATTTTTGATAATAAGAAAAATATGGAATAATGCCAGCCTTGTCCTTTAAGACTCTGTAATAAACCCATTTAAATAACGTTTTATTTTTGATCAACTAAATGTGTCGCACTATTCCAAAACACAAGCTGTGTGGAGCCATTTGTGAACAGTACATGACTCCATTGATCCCATTATAGGAGGGAAACCACTGTCACAGTCACTTACTGCTGTCTGATGCTCTCATGGAGATGCTCACTGTAGAATATGTCATGTACATTGCATTGTGGGGGTTTACAGATATCCAGTTCATCACCGGGAACATCAATAAACTGCAGTGGTGCACATAGAAAAGTAAACTCGCCCTGCAGCAACCTCGACTCAGTCAGATGCAAAGTATATTTCCCTTGGCTGTTGCCTTGTTTACTGATATCATGTTACATCTCTTGCTGTTGCAAAAACAAATTGTGCACCAAATTATGAGTAAATGATGCTTTCTGTCCTACCACATGATCTTCATCAGTGGAAGGAGTTTGCCAGTTGTCATAAAACTGAATATATTCAAAAATCCAATTTTTCTTTTTTATATTACATAATGTTTTAGTGATTTTCCTTTGTTTGTAGAGTAGTGTGTAGTCTGACTGATGTTAAACAAGGCAATGGATAGTACGAGAGAATTTGTTTTCTGAACATCAAAGCGGGTGAATGTTTTCTAGTCCCCCAAAGTAAAATGATAAACCTGGAAATATGTATAATATGTCCTTTTTTAAGGACTTGTCATCCATATTAGCAATTTCACCAACATCTACAACTCTGCTGCTGATGAAGTGGTGGTGAATGAAGCTGACAACTGCAGATCAATTGATTTAACACGGTTAAGGCAAAGCAGTTACACACCAAAGAGCTTTAAATAAGGCTTTTAATAAAATAAAGAAATGCTTCAGTGTTTAAAAAGCACAATAAAGAGGAAAATAAAATCAGTTTAAGTTCTTGAGTGCTCAAACTATTTGTAATACCGTAAAACTTCTAATAAAAGCAGGGTCCCAAATAGATGCAGGTCTCCATTAGAGGCCTGGTCTGAATTTTATAGGAATTCTTTCGATGGTCGCCTGCTCGAGCGAGTTATAAGCTGGTTAGGGCGCCTACACAAATATAATTGTTTAAACTTTTGTCAATACTGGCATGCTACACATTGTTACATTAGTTAGATTCTCCACAATTCAATTATTTGGTTCGTTTTACAGAAACTATGAGCACCAAAGTATAATTCATTCAGATTTACAGGCATAGTAAACAGGAGAGACGGGGGGAAAAAGGGATGACTTACAATCTTTGAAGCGATAAAGTCCGTACCATAAGTGTCCATTCCTCCATTATTTATGTTCCTTTAGTCCGTAAGAATCAAAAGGTTTTATTAAAATGGATCCAAGTTGTGAATGTTGTCATGTGAACCCTGTTGCTCATTGTCTGTTGGCTGGGTGTGGCACAGAGAAAAAAAAATTAAGCTGTAAGTTGTCAGACTTGCTGAACAGACATCGGTGACTATAGCTATCGTTTTCTGTTTGTGTTCAGATGGTGGAAGAAAGTGAAGAGCGGTTATCAGAGGAGCAGATTGAGGAGCTCATTCATACGGTCGCAGACGCACTACCCGGTGACCCGGAGCAGGAAAATGCAGCTCCAGCAGATGTAGAGATGGATGAACAACCCGGAGAACAGTCGTGACACAGGCCAGAAGTGACTCATACTGAAGGTGGAGAACTGGAGTGAAGGCTCATCTTTATTACTGGTTGATTTTACCTGCGCTCCCTGTTGCGTCACCATTTGAACTGAACAACTCTTGGAGAGATGGGACGCACAATGGCAGCCTGACCGGGGCTTAAAGCAAGTTCATTCAGATTTTTGCATTTCCGTGTACACATACAACTTCAAACTTGTGCACGTTTGCATAAGTACAGGTTGGACTCTGACTCACAAATGTCTTGTTTTGCATCCGACTGATCTAATCTGTATTTCACATCAGATAATGTTCATGCAGAGACTTTGATTTTTGGTTTCTGACTTAATGTTAGTCGTCACTTTCTCCCATGGTGCATAGAAATAAGGGTTTCTGCTGCTGTATGATTTCCCCAAGCTGTAATATTAGTCAGTCATGCAATTAAACCTACACTGGTACACAGCACTAACATAAGTTCAGACAGTATTATTAAGAGAGGCTATGTAATAAAGAGTATGGACCAAGAGGTAATTGTTGTTGTTTTTTTTAACATGCTGATGTTTTCCTTCTGTAACAAAATGAAACAGCTGAAATGTGTCTGCATCTGTGTCACTTTGAATGTCATGGTCAGTGAGCAGGGAACTTGGCACAACAGCTTTCAGAACAGGCAGGGCGACATGACAGACTGAAGAACTGGTGCTAAATTAGGACCATAATCTGAAACCATTTCACAGTCAGACGACGCAACACAATGGTAGTAAAAGCACCTGTGGGACGCCATAAATAGGTCGGCCGTTCTATTTGCTGGTGGAAGTAAATAGTTACTCATCCTAAGTAATAATATTGTTCCCATTTAGTTGAGCACACAGTTTTTCGTAGATTTTTGTAACCTCTCAGAGATAACACAGGATATAAAAGGTGACACGGAAACCCAAAGACTGCAGTCTCTGGGTTAGCTTGTGCCTTCTGTGCTGGGATGTTGTGAAGTAGCAAAGGAAGGATGTGCTGGTTAGACTCATGTATTTTTCTGTTCTGAACTTCCTGTTAATGTGTCACATCAGTTTCCTTTGCTTACTGAACAGTAGTACTTTGCAAGGGCAAGACACTGAGCCAAACTGAAAATCGTGAACACGGATTTTGTAGCAGCACATCCAGGAGCCCCAACCCCCCCAAAAAAATAAAGGGGGGGTTTTTAGAAGAAAAAAAAAAAAAAAACCAACCCAAAAACCCAAATTTTTTTATTTTTAAAAAATTTTTTTTTTTTTTTTTTTTTTTAAAAAAAAAAAAAAAAAAAAAAAAAAATAATTAATTTTTTTTAAAAAATATATTTAATAAGAAAAAAAAAAAAAAAAAAGAGGGGAAGAAAAAGCCGAAGTAAGTTAACCGGGATTGTTTTTAAAAAGGGTGACTTTCCCCCCGATCCAGGTAAATGTGTTGCAAATAAAATGTATTCAAGATAAGGTAAAAATCAGTCATTAATGTTCTCAAAAGTGATTTTATTGTGCACCTCTCACCAAGCGAACACTCTTCCTATTTCATATGTACTTATTTCATTAATTATTGACATATCTAATTACTTATTCATGATTTTCAGTGGTTATTTTATGTTTTATTTATTGTTATTTGACAAGGTTACCCATGTAATTTGGTCACATTTTGGTCCTCCACAGAGGGTTGCAGTCTACCATAAAGTTACCAGAATAAGTTGTACTAATGAAAAGGTGGGTAAAATTAAACGAGGCGGGTTTTAACCTCAACTTCAACCCCACACTGTGATTAAATTTCCCCCTGTGGGCTTTTTACGCAGAGCACAACGAATCGATGAAGTAAAGTAATTTTAGCCTTGAGCGTGAGAGAGAGAGAGAAAACAACAACCTTGGTTTGTCTCTGCGGCGGAATTGCCCTTTAACAGCTCAACCAATAGGAACCGCCTAAACAGATACGTATTAGTATTCAGAACGTCCCTCGACCAATCAGCGCTCAGCTTTCTCTGCCTGGCTGCGCTCTTGCCCCCCCCCCTCTCTCTCTCAACGGTAGAAAACGGCTCGACTTCTCACGGTGCAAACTTAACGTCGGTGAGCGCGCAGAGAAACGTTAATATCTTAATGATGTGTTTGTTTTTTAATCTAAAAGAAATGGCGTAGACATTACCGCTTTTTACCTCCACCGATGAGAGAGGAAACACCGGTGTGTCTGCGTGGATAGACGAGCTGTTGGTTTAAGGTTCATGTGTGTGTGTGTTTTTTTTTTTCCTCCGGCAGTTTCCCAGATTCTGGTGAGTGAACACCATTTTTACTGGGTCTTAAATGTAGATACAACGCGTGTTGGCTACCTACAGACACCTTAAATAAGACTAGTTACACTGGGTTAAAGGTGGTTAAATAACGCAGTGACCAGCAGGAGGGTGATGGTGTGTTGTTAGGTGGCCGCTGGTCTGTCACGGTGTGTCTGACTGATAGCAGGTCATTCACCTGGTGGCCTGTCTGCCTGCCTCGGGTCCATATTTGCAGACAAGATGCATCATGAAGCCCAGGCCAGATGTTCGTGGCTGCTGGGGCCTTCCCTTGTGCAGAGTAAATCCTATTTTACACACACACTATTGCCTGCGCGGAAAGCTTTGATTTGTTTCTACTAACATGCACCTGGCTCACCACATATTTTGTGCAAGAAAAATGTTCACGAAGAAGCAGCTGCATCTGAATATGTGGCCTTCAGGGCATTCATTTCATAGTTTTTGCCACTAAGAGAGCAAGCTCATACAGAAATACATGGAAAAAAATAAGTAATAATTCCTCTCAGACTTTCCCTTCAGCAGGAAGTCGCCCTCCTGTCATGTGAGGATAGAGGAGGCGTTGGATCTCTTGACAACCTGCTGGTCAAAGATGTCACAAATGTGCATCTGGATCACCACAACATCTGCAACGCAGCATAAAAAAAAGAGTATAAAAAAGTAGAATTGTCATTGCAAAAATACATAAAACTACTCAAGTTAGATGGGAAAGCTTTCAAGGAAACGGCTCCGAGAGTTTACAGGCTCCTCCACTGTCGTATATTAGCGCTGTAACCCGAGTTCAGGGTAAACGTAGGACGAGATCTCCCTGTTAAGACTATCCCTTTAACAGGAGGTTTGTTCCTTCCTGCGAACCGTAAGGAGGTGGCACTGGCTTTGGGTTTCCTGACAACCTTCTGCTCAAAGAAATGTCAGCATTCTTGCCAGCCACCACAACGACCGTCTACAGACCAACTGTGATCACGGGTCGCTGTTTTCTGCTTATTATAGACTTGTTTGTTGGTTTGTCCCTGATCAGCAAACACGGTGGCCTTTTCAAGGTCAGTCCCCAGATTTATCAGAGCGAGTATCCACTGTTATTCTTTCCAGGAACCATTATGGAGGAAAAAACCTTTAGTAGTGTCTAACCGGGCTCATAGTTTGGGTATTATTGGCCTGTTATATTACTATTTCTCAGATTTCTGCCTCTACTGATGGACATAAAAGTAATCTGCAACTGTTTTTATAATTTAATAATCATTTCATTTATCTTTTTCCATCAAAAAAGCCAAATATCCATTGTTTCCCTTCCTTTAGGGAATCATGATGGGGATTTTCAACTCGAACAAATTATTATTTAAGAGAATAATTGACAAATTAAAGGATGATGAAAATAATTGTTAGTTGCAGCCCTAAATTGATAAAATACACATTTTCATTGGGCGACCCAGCGTTTTAAAAAGTAAAAAAGCCCTTAGAGGGGAAAAAGCAGCATGACTCGTCTTAAACCACTGGCCTAATTCTCTGCAGACTCCAAGTGGCTTAATCTCTGCATGGAAATGCATCAGAGTAACATGTAAAGCTTGTGGATACCACTGGACTTAGCATGGCTTAAGGCAGCACCTAAGTATCCCAACCAGGCCGGGATGTCCTCATTTCCAGCTGTTTCTTCCTCTTTTTTTTTTGCTTTGATCGTCAGACTGAAGTTTACAGGCATGCTACTCCAGGCCAGGAAGAGGAGTTTTCCCCACGTGGCATCCAGATGTCAGGATCCCTGCACATTCAGTCTGAACAGACAGAAACCAAAATACCTCTGAGAGAGGGAGACATTTTGCTTTAGAGCTTCTCTAAGAAGTAAAAGCTGCTCTTTGAGTCTTGATTTTATAGAGTTTCAAAGCTGTACTGTGGCTTTAAAAGTAATTCAAACACTGTAGTGAAATCCTCAACATAATTCAGTTCTTCTTGCAAGCTCGTGTTTTCTAAGAAGAGGAATTGGAGGCCAGCGTGCGCTGATGAAACTGTTCCTGTGCACTTTGCAGAAGAGAAATTGGGAAGTTGCAGGGTGGCTCAAACGGTCAATAATTTGATCCTAAATAAATTGCTGTGCGCTTCAGTGTGGCAGAAACCGTCAGTGAGAATAAAAACATGAGGAAGCTGTCAGATACACCCTCAGACACACTGCAGCCTGAGTTTATCTGCATTGTGTACCACAGTTAACTTTGATATGGCCAATAGTCAGCGCCTCCCCATGAGGAGGAAGATGCAAAATAGCTTCTTTGAGGGAAAAAAAAAAACTGGATTCATTTCAGCCCCTCTGAAAGTGTTCTTGGCAAACAATCACACTCCACCCTGCTTGCTAAGAATAGCTCACTCATCCAGGGCTTAATGTTATTCATTTAAGTTTTAAAAACATAATTTTATGGGTTGTTGGTTGTTTTTTTGTTAAGATGTGAAATCATGCATGGACTAAAAAAAATTAGCTCATACCAGTGTCCAACTTTTAACTTTTTGCCTCACTGGCCAAGAGGACTGATCCACAGACCAAAATAAGAAATTGTCTTTTAGTGTTCATGTACATTAGTTTTAGTACATTACACGTTAGACACAAGTAAAAGTGTGTGTGTGTGTGTGTGTGTGTGTGTGTGTGTGTGTGTGACCCCATACAGATAGCAGTGGTAAAAAGCAGTGCGCCCATAAATTACACCAAAACGCACTACAGGCTCTCTCTGTTTTTAGTACATGACCATTTTAGTACAAACATTTACCTGCCAGTGAGGCTCATAGCCAATACTCTCATTGCTCTACAGTACAATTTGCAATCCTGGCAAAACAGATGCTTCCTCTTTTTTGGTTGTAGGCAATATAAACTGATTGTGGTGTAACTCTTGCTCGGGTGTAAAACACGTTCTTCTCACGTTTTTAGGTACGAGCGATGGACGAGAGACGTGGCTTGCTGTGGAGCGCAGCAGGCCTGGATCCTGCTATCCGACAGCAGGGCTGAGGAGCTGCAGAGGAGTGAGGAGTCTCCCCAGCCCTCACCTGAATATCAGTCCCCAGCTGCACCCTTTGGGACAACGTCAAGCATTCCTGTCTTTCTCGCAGTCATTTTCCAGGCTGTCAGTGTGTAGCTTAGTCTTCAACTAACCTTTGTTGAAATTTAAGAAGCAAATACATTCAGCCAGCCTCCTCAGGTGGCCCCTGATTGTTGTTTTATGAATCTGACTCCCAAACACACACAACCATGAGGAACACCAGATTTAGCCTTCTGCTGGGCTGTGTGCTCCTCTGCTCCGCCTCCCTGCTCTACCTGGGCATGAGCGGGATAGACTGCCCTCCAAAAAGCCATCGGTACCGGTGGATGGAGCTCAACCTGGGCTCAGCCAATCAGAGCTTATCCCTGACTGAACACTTCCCCGAAGACACGCCCCTCATATTCATTGGCGGCTTTCCCAGGAGCGGCACCACGCTGATGCGCGTCATGCTGGATGCCCACAGTCACGTGCGGTGTGGGGAAGAGACCCGAGTGATTCCCCGCCTCTTGGCCATGCGGGCCACCTGGAGCCGCTCGGTGAAGGAGAGGATACGACTGGACGAGGCCGGCGTCACTGACCAGGTGTTGGACTCGGCCGTACGAGCATTCCTGTTAGAGGTGAGCTGGTCGTTGCAATCTGCTGTGTTGAATTAGGCCAAATACACGCATCTGCATCTGTTAATCTGCCTGTTAATATGCCTCTAAGGCTGCAATTAACATGATTAAATTGACTGATGTATCATGTATGCTAGTAAACAAAATTGCCCAAGATGATGTCTTTCAATTGCTTGCTTTGCCTGATCAATAATCCAAAACCCAAAAATATTATATATTATAATATTACTATCGTACATGACACAGAAGCAATAATTGTTCACATTTAAAAGCTGGAACCAGAAAATGTTGTAAGATTTTACTTTAAAACCACATATAGCCTAATTCTTGTTTATATGTCTCCTAAATATTTAAAGAAATTATAAAGGGCTATTTAACACAAAATTGCTTATTTACTTATTCGCTCAAATCTGTCTATTAAATATGAAGCTACAGTCAGTACACGCTTAGCTTAGCATTAAAGACTGAAAACTGTCTACAGTGATGTGTGAAAACTAGAATTTGTGATTTTCTGATTATGAGCCAGATCATTTCTCAGCTGGGCATAATCTATATTCGCTATTGGTGAAATATTAATGTTTTTAATAAGACCAGCATGTTGTTGTAAATGACACATTTATATTTTGCATATGAAAAAACTATTTAGAAGGAATGGTTTGCTTGTATTTCTTGTTGTCATATTGACTGTTTCTATGTGTGTTTCAGGTGATAGTCGGCCATGGGGAGCCTGCACCTCGCCTTTGCAACAAGGATCCGTTCGCCTTGAAGTCTCTGTCATATCTGTCACGCATCTTCCCCAAAGCCAAATTTGTGCTCATGCTACGAGACGGACGGGCAACTGTCCACTCCATGATATCACGCAAGGTATGCTGGGTATCTTTCTCTTATCAGGGAGCTGCAGGTGGACATCCTTACAAACTCGTGTTTCCAAAACAAGTTTGTGCTGGTGCCACACAAAGTTTCCATTCTGTATTTACTCTCTGTCGTGATTGGTTGCCCGTGTTAATCTTATCTGACTCCATTCACAGGTCACCATCTCTGGGTTCGACCTGACCAGCTACAGGGACTGTCTGACCAAGTGGAGCAGCGCGGTGGAGACCATGTACAGTCAGTGCCAGGCAGCTGGGGAGGGCAGATGTATGCCCGTCCGCTATGAGCAGCTCGTCCTCCACGCAGAGGAGGAAATGAGGAAGTTGCTTCACTTCCTAGAGCTGCAGTGGGACCCGTCGGTATTGCACCACGAAGAGCTGATTGGGAAAGTCGGTGGTGTGTCTCTGTCCAAGTGGGTATTTGAAATGTGTGTGTGCTCCAAGCTTACCTCTTTCACTCCAGTGGTATAGTTTAAATAGTTTCATTTTTATGCGCTGAGGTTTTTCAAATGTTGAAATGAATTGCGGTGGTAGAGAAGTTTCAGAGACATGTATCTCTAAACCTCAGCACACTAAACTGAAACTGTCTGAATACCCACAACAGTATCTAGACATGCTATTCAAGGTCTGAAATAGCCTAAATACATAAACATACACACAGTATTGTTGTCTTCAACTCAGTTTTAAAGGTTTATTTTGTTTTTGTTGGACACTGTTCCTGGTTTTATCCCTGATTTTAGATAACTAAACACATTTTTTATTTCACACACCAGCCTGATTATCAGTGACCAAACATAAATCATTTAATAAGCAGAAATTCCTCTGCTCAACCCCACTGTCCATAGTTAGTCCATATAAATGCATGTAAATGATAGAAAACTCTTAATCTAGCTGTGTGTTTTATTTGTCATAATCTTTCCTCCTGTGAATTCCCACCTTGCTGACTAGGAGTGGATATATTTCAGGATCACATCTCACACATCTCTCTCGGTCAGAACAGTCAACCAAACACGTTCCTGAGCGGTTGCTCAGAATAATCAGGTTTTGCTTCCACCCGTGCAGCTTGTTAATGACTGTACAATGTATATACATATCTTAGAGTAAGTGCTCAAGACATCTAGTTTTAATGATTTACTTGTACTGATATTTTCTGAAGGTTTTTATTATTTTCATGCCATTTGTGAGAGGATGTGGGTAAAAAGGAGGCGGTACAGGTCATTTAAAACTCTATTGATTAATCTAAAAGAAACCCTGTCCACTGGAGGGGTCAGAGTGCAGGGTCAGAGAAATCACAGGACTCATCAGACAATTCAATCTAGGTCTTATTTTGTGTTATTTATGTCCCTCAAGTGACCTTCCTCTACTGCAGTTAGTGTCTTCCTTGAAGGACATCTGACATTATGAATAAAAACAAGTGTTTTAATTTTAAAATTACCATTCGAGAAGTTGGAACCAGTCAGTTTTTGGCATTTTTTATGAATCAAACAATTAATATATGATCAGAATTGTTGCCAGTTATTTCTCTGTGGATTTACTGATCAATTAATGGACTAATCATTTAAGCCTTAGTCTCTTCTGAATTGGATTTCTCTATCTATGATTGTTGACAGTGGTGGCTAGAAAAAAACCCAACATATTGATTCTCTGGAACTCGCTGCACTGAAACGTGATGTTTCCCATTGATTTTCTTTTTTTAAAAGGACCAGTGTGTTGGATTTAATGGCATCTAGCAGTGAGATTACAGATTCCAACCAAGGAAAAACAGCCAGTGTTTGGTTTGTCTGTTCTGGTCTCTGTGGAAGAGAACCCGCTCCCATAAAAAACATTTATAATATTTTTATTTTCAGGTGATTTTACAATAATGAAAACATACCTGTGAATGTTATGTTCCCTTTCTGCCAATAGATCCTCCTAAATGATACACACGGGACCATTAAAAGGCTAAATAATAAAAATACCTTAATAATACAAGTCATGTACAATTAAAATACCTCAATTGTCTTTGACTTTATATTATGTACAATTGTGTAGTTATCCTAAAGACTAAATTATACCACCTGGTAGCTAGGAATTTAAAAAAACACTTAAAGCACCCCCAGTGCAACTCTGCCTAACTAATAGATTTTTGACAAGCCTCCAAAAGCACAAAATCAGTCTGGGAATTCAAACAATTTTCTGAACACAAAAGAAAAACCAAACAAAATGTATTTATTACTGTTTTCTGTAACTTGCATCAGCCAACTTTCAAAGCCTTTGCCACAGTTCCACATATGTAATTGTGTTGGAAGATACTACTTTATCTGTTCATTTCATATTGATATGTCTTAAAACAGCCAATTTTAATAACCATTCATAAAAACTCAGCTTGAATTGAAATGCAGCCCAGGTTGTGAGCAGATTTGAACAGAACACAAGTCGTATATTTGAGTCCATTGAGCCTCCAGGACGCCTGCCACAGTTTTCATCTGAACCTTTTTAAAGGTCAAGTAAAGCTTACAGACGTTTAATTTGTGTTGCTCTACTTATTTGTCGTGATTCAAGACGAGCATCTCTTTGCAGGGCAGAAGCTCAAGAGATTTGATGGGACTCTGCCTGCTTCATAACGCAGAAAACCCAAACCTGGCGTGTATTTGAAGGAATTAGGCCACATTCTGAGAGAATTAGCACCCTTATTTTGATTAGTTATGCAACGGTTGGCGCAATATTAGTCACACTAATGTTTTGTAACCTCCTCAGAAATTTAATTATCACGAAATATGGCATGTTGTGGTTCTGAATCATATGTGTACAGGCGTAAGTTATGTAGGGTGGACGGGTTTATAGGTATGGAATATTTAAAATGCCTAAATTAAAACAAATCAAACAAAAGATAAATAAATGAAAAACAATACACATTGTTTTATTTTTTTTAAATATGCGTTTACTGTGACTCAATTCCATTGACAACATATATTAGGACAGTTATTTATCTTTTTCTCTTAACTTAATGAATTCGATTTTTTTTTTAAATAAAAACTTTTAAATCTTCCATAGTTTGCCACTCTTCAATGTCCGGAGGCAAGCGTCTCCTCCATATTGAACTAATTAACATTATGGACTAACACACACACTAACCTTGTGTTCGACTGTGTGTGTGCAGGGTTGAGCGCTCCACAGACCAGGTGATGAAGCCGGTGAACACGGATGCCCTCTCGAAGTGGGTTGGACACATTCCCTCCGACGTTATAAATGACATGGCTGAAATTGCCCCCATGCTGGCTCGCCTGGGCTATGACCCCAACGCCAACCCTCCCGATTACGCAAGAGCAGAACCCATGTTATCTCCGTTCAACTACTCACAGGTGAGGTTCAAAGAAAATGTCTGAGTAAGAACTGAAGTTCACTGAAAGACAAAGATTTTATTGATTGTTTAATCTGACTTGGGTGAGTCCAAACCCAAATATATTCCATTCACTGATAGAAAACAAAGCAACAAATCCTCTAATTGGATGAGCTGGAACCTGAGTGTTTGGCTTTTCTTCTTTATAAATTACTTCAAAGATGAATTGATTATCTTAATTGTTGTTCATTAGTTTTCTTTCAATCAATTTATCAAGTATTTGTTTCAGAACTACAGATTTTCAACTGGATTTTATGTGAAAAAAGATTGTTCCTGTTGCAATAGGACACTGCTCAGCAGAGCATGTTGACAGCTTAAAGTCTGCAAGTGGAAAGTGAAGAGAAAAATGGAGAGAACGCCCAAATTAGAAGTCCCTTTTTAAATGCAATAATAATAATAATAATAATAATAATAATAATAATAATAATAATAATAATAATAATAATAATAACACAAACCCGATTGGTAAAAAAGAGAAGAGAAAATTGAGGCTTAAGATTAAATACTTAACGAATGCGGTTAATGGGCGTTCTGCTGTAGATACCAACATTATGGCTCATAAACATCCTCTCATATTCCTTGATAATGGAATAATGGAGCATGCGATAAGAATCACCATAGTCACATCCGCTCTTTGGAGTACACAACATGTCATCAGTCGCAGCCTACCTCTGTTATATCTCAAGAAACAACCCACAGGCAGTCCACGATGAAGAGGTACTCAGCAACAATATTTTAACAATAAATCAGGTGGTTAAATTCAATTTTTAATCTCCTCGCCTTTACAAAGAAATATGAAAAATGATCAATAATTATTAATATGGACTGAAGTTAAATGTTTTATTGTGATAAAGTTTAACACTTAAGTCACAAAAACATTTCCCACTTACCCCTACTGAGCTCCAGCCACACAGATAACTATTTACTTTCTCTTTCAGCCTTGATAATAGTTCCAGTTATAAGTGAACATTGTGGCTTTTCTCTCCTCAGAATTTGAAAGCAACAGAGGCTCCACACCCGAGTTAAGCGGGAAGAGGAAAAAATGCTGTGAACCAGGCTTTCGCTGTTACGCGATATGGATGCACCTTTAACACGGACTTCCAGCTCAGCAGTAAATACACCTCACAGGAAAGTTTTTAAAGTGTTCCATGTGTATTTTTCAATTGTTTGTAAGACTTGTGTGCGGTGTTAATGTCTGTATACAACTGGAGGGGATCAAATAGAGATGTTTCAATACCAGTTTTTCCCTTTTTCCCTCCTGATACCTGAACTTCATATATTTATATATATATATATATATATATATTTATATATATATATAGGTTGGTATCATATTGTTGTGAGTCGTGACTTCGCAAAAAGGCATCCTATTTTGGGGATAATAAATCATGTGATATCAGATCCGTGCACAGATGCACATACTCACCGATACCACATTTTGGCCATATCGGAGGAATAGGAGGAACAGTTTAAATTACGGACTCTTCAAGGCGGTTCTGGTTTTATATCTTGGCTCTGAGAACCGCATGTGGACTACCTGCTCACATTTCCTCCAGGGTGAACCGACAGTATTACACTGCATTTTGACACGTCCTCTCACATCGTACCTGAAAGTATTTCAACATGTCTGTAAGTTGTTATGATTCACCACAAATGTGAATGTGTCTTTAGACAAAAGTCTTTCACTTACTGAGATTTCAGTCAGTGTTCATGAAGCATAATGACTGTATATTTTTGAAGACGTATGTTTATTTTCTTAATAAATTATTTTGGTGTCGACCATTCATTCAGGAATCTAAAAAGTTGTTTACTCTGAATTCAGGCTTTTCAATTGTTGTATATTGTTGAAGACGAATAAAAAGAGCCTAAATGTCACCTTTTAAAAAAAAAATGTTATTCAGTTTATACACTCCACTCCATCATACTGCCTTCTGTGTATGTATGTTAGACAGTCAGTTGAGCCACAGCGCCCTCTTGTGGTACAAAGACACAACACCAAATGTTGGTTGCAGACAAAAATATATATATATATCTATATATATCTATATATATATATATATAGATATATATAGAGATATCTCTAGATAGATATCTATAGATATCTCTATCTATATCTATCTCTATATATAGAGATAGAGATAGATATATATATAAGAGTTCTGACACTTCAGTCTTCATGGTTCAGTAGAAATAAATGTGCAAAGGTACATGTAGTCAAACCCTGAGACAGATTGGACTGCTGACTGTTAACATATATAATTAAATTGTAGTTTAAAGTAAACTACATACACACATGCCCATATGACTAGACCACAAAGTTTAACAGTGGACTAAAATAATGCTACATGGTCATTTAGATCCATCAACAAAACCAGTCAAACAGAAAAGGAGAACAAAAATCTTTCCTGCAGCATTGTTTTTTGTTACAAAATATCTCAAACTAAAAAACGTAATGTTTTTATTGATCGTGCAGCTAAAATAACTTCTATGTTGCACAATGATCCACTAGCACCAGGGCAGGCTGCTCTACCTACAGCTCTCTGGATGTAAACATGGGAGCCGCTGTGTTCTGTTCCTCGGTTGGCGGGTTGAGGGCGTGAAGCCACACACCCCTCCTGCTGGGCAGTGGGTGGTGGACCGGGGTTGGCGGATCTTCTGAGCCGCACCTGATCATGTACAGAAAACACCTGTAGAACTGAGAGACGCAGCAAAATAAGAGCTGTGGCCCTGTTCCCGGTCAAGAACATGTAAAGAAATGAATGATTTATGCGTTCCACTTAGTGGAGGTCCTGCTATTGTGATTGTTCACTGTCACTATTATTAATGGCACTCAGCCCTTTTATTATATTATAAGTCTGTTATAGTACAGAGACTGAAAGCGAGGTGGGGGTACCATAGTCAGGGATAAAAAAAAGAGAATATAAACCGAGGCTGGATGACCAACCAGGCAAAGCAGGTAAATTGATGTATTTGTTTGGTAATAATGAAGCAATTCAAAGTTGACTTAAGTGCCAGGTTTTGTAAGGAAGATGAAAGGACCAGTGTGTAGGATTTGGTGGCATCTAGAGGTGTAGTTGCAGATTTGCAACCCCCTCGCTTCACCTTCCCCTTCTAAGCATGAAGAAGAAAATACGATGGCCACAAAAACGGCCCTATTAACAGCCAGTGTTTGGTTTGTCAGTTCTGGGCTACTGAACAGACAAAAGAAATGGCGTGTAAGGTGACCTGCAGTGCTCATTCACAGGTAACAAAAACAATTATTTTTATTTTCAGGTGATTTTAGACCAATAAAAAACTGATTTATGAATATTGTATTCCAATTCTGCCAATAGATCCTAAATGTTCCATCCTGGACCTTTTAAAGTGTGGAGTAACAAGACAATATATCTGGTTCTGCTGCATTGATTTTAATCCTTTTTTTAAAAGAAAAGTCCACTGAGAGTCTGACAATGTTAGTTAATGAAATATAACTTTAGACTAAATCAGTGGTCTTGTAGCTAGAAGTATGGTGTGTTATTATAGTTATTATATTGGATATAAAATGATGAAACACTGAGACTCTTAACTAGCAAAGCCCTCTGTAGTTTTGTTTTGTTTGGAGTTTAATAAAACTGATCTTATTAAACAAAGGGAATACAATCACCTAACAATGCTCGGATGACTGTGTAGTTTTTGTAGTTTTTACAGGGAGTTGCTGTTACCTGGTTGTTGAGCAGCACATAAATCACCGGGTTGAGGATGGTGCTGGTCTTCGCCAGCAGGGAGGGGATCAAACTGGCGGCAGGCGGCACCACACCGGGCCGTCCAAAGGAAGCGAGCATCGCCATGACACCGTACGGCATCCAGCACAGGAGGTAGCCTGTCACCATGGAGACCACCATCAGAAGGACGTGGCCTTCCCTCCGTTCAGCTGAGGATCGGTTGAGCCTGCTGACCTGCGCACACACACACACACACACACACACACACACACACACACACACACACACACACACACACACACACACACACACACACACACACACACACACACACACATACACACACACACACACACACACACACACACACACACACACACACACACACACACACACACACACACACACACACACACACACACACACACACACACACACACACACACACACACACACACACACATACACATACACACACACACACACACACACACACACACACACACACACACACACACACACACACACACACACACACACACACACACACACACACACACACACACACACACACACACACGCACACACACACACACGGTGGACGCAGTGAGTAGCAGGAAGTTCTGACGTCACACACATTACACGGAGGTCAAAGGTCACGTGTGCTGTGCGCTCACCTGTCTCGCCACCGCTCGCAGAGCCAGCAGGATCCTCCCGTAGCAGAAGATCATGAGCAGCAGGGGCAGCAGCAGGCAGAAGATGAACAAACAGCTGATGTAGGAGCGAGCTGTGGCCGAGCGCTGGTGCCACTGGACCGAGCAGGTGGTGCCGGGACCCTCCGGCCCGTAGCTGCTCCATAACACACAACATATGCTCTATTTATTTTAACATACGTCCTAGTGAATGATCTTATGAGAGGAGTGATGGGTTGATATCAGGGGCAGTATGCAGACCTGCTCCAGCCCAGCAGCGGCGGCAGAGTCCAGACCAGCGAGTAGAGCCAGGAGGCGGCGACAGCGAGCCTGGCCCGGCGGTACTGAGAGGAGTCCGGCTGTGTCCTCCGGAGCACCACAGAGTACCGCTCAAAGGACAGCAGAGAGAGAGACACCAGGGATACTATGCCTGACAGAGAGAGAGAGACATTATAGCAAAGTAAAGAACAGCAGTTAGTGCTCAAACTGAGCCAATCAATCAATCAATCAATCAATCAATCAATCAATCAATAAATCATCTCCATTCAGACTGTTTTATGACAAAAATCACAGAAAGTGTACTTTACTACTCCATTTCAGAAGAAATATTTCACTTTTTACCACATTTATCTGACAGCTGTAGCTACAATTTAATTTGACTCTACATCCAAAACATATGATCCACCTAAAATCTGACTATAGATTAAACTACTTAACAACAGACGGTTATATAAAATAGTTTAAATTAACTTTAACAGTAAAATATAATAATATAACACCCACAGTGGACATTTTCAGTTTTGATACTAGGTTGACTTTGCTGAATACTTCTTGAGTAAGATGTTAAATGGGGTGTATGTGAGTACTGTTCTCTCGCTATGATAAGAAATCAGATTCCTGACCGGGCTCAAACACTCACACAGGACCTGATCACTCACCAAAAAGCGCGTTGGAGAAACCGTACCACCGGCACCCGTAGGTCCCGGTCAGCCACCTGCCGCGCACGCTGGCCGCGAAGCTGAGCGGAGTCCCGAAGATGCAGACGAGCATGTCGCTGGCGCTGATGTTGATGAGCAGCAGGTTCACGGGGGTCTGCAACCGGGGGAAGCGCGAGAAAACCACCAGTACGAGGAAGTTACCGAGGAAGCCCAGGACCAGGATGAACCCGAGGACCACGGCGGCCGCGGTGTGACCGGACCGGCTCAGCGCACCGGCGGCGGGGTCCGACCCGGAGCTGAGCCCGGTGCTGAGGTTGTTGCTATGCTGCACTAGGATCACCATGGCAACGTGGTTATCCCTGCAGGGTGACTTAAATCGGAGGCAGAAGTTATAAAACGAAGAAAAAAATGACGGTTTTTGTTATGTAACTCTTACAAATGGTATGTTGGGGCAGAAAACAAACATATTCAACTCAATGAGGAGAAATCCACGACCACAAGATGTTTAAATACTCTGGAGGAGGGGATGAACGGGGTGGGAGAGATAACTTTTTCTTTCTCTCACACACATAAGCTTACCTCCTCCCCCCTTGTTCGTTGATTGTGTTCAATACAAACCTGACAGACCCTCAATGAGAATGAAATACTCACACAACAAAAGAATACAAATAGGAAGAAGACTGGCTTAATTGTATCTAATTATATTATGGTTAACACAGTTTTAAGGCAATACAATTATAAGAAAGGTGATTTATTTTTTTCTGGCTATACTGACATTTGGGAAACCCAGAACATAAATATAAACAATAAACAAGACCAGCAAAGAAACCAAAACATTAGTCATAATGAATCCTTCAATCACAGTTTCTATAGAATACAAAAACATCTTCAAACCTTTCAAAGACACAAAGGACTCCCACAAAGAAAGAATGAAAGAAACAATCCAACAAAGGTGCAGACGCTGACGTGTTGCCGTAGACGACCGTCAGAAACATCATTGTCTTTATTCTGTTCTGGTATTCAGCCTTTATTCTAGACCAGATTGGGGACCTAAATAACTGAGCCAACATATTAATAATACAAGCTTTGGTTGCCTCAGAGGATGAGCCAAGAAGACAGTAACTGATGAGAGGACGTTAAACTGATGGACAATCACAAGACACTGCTGTTTGGTGATGTTTCTGCAATATCATTTCTTTAAAGCTTTCTATAATTATTTATTTTTATTTTAATCTTAAAGGACCAGTGTGTAGGATTTATTAGATAGTGATGAAGTTGCAGATTGTAACTAATCACACACAATGACTGTAGGTATAGATGTGCTGGTTTGTGACCACCTTTATTAACCTTCAGTGATGCCTCTCCTTATTTGTTACTTTGCACACACACACACACACACACACACACACACACACACACACACACACACACACACACACACATCCCTTGAACTTGCAGCTCATGTTTATGACCTCTTCCATTCAGTATGTCAGGACCCTTCCACTTTACACAATCATTGATCCAGTCACACAACACACACACGCTCTTGAGTCATTTTACTCTTAGTTGGTCGAGGAAGAAAAAGGACCTGAACAACATCACATGCAGTCACCTCGGCCCAGTGTGGCCGCCCACACAGCCATTGTGCCGGCATGAAACTACGTCACCGTTCATCCACTGTAATTAAAGCTGTCATGGGGGTGGACAGGTCTGATCAGGTGAGCGGCACAGAATTTACTTAGCCGGCTGCACGATGTGTCTTTCTTATTGTCCATTATCAGTGATTATTAGGAGACACTGAGGGTTTCTCTGACAGTAAGGGTTGTTTGTTTATTGTTCCAATGTTATAGAAGGATTTAATTGACATTATATATTTTATGCATGATTTAATGTGGGAAGTATCATGAATTCTTGTTGCCCATCATTACTGTTTGGCAGTAACTCATTACTAGTTATAATATTACTTTTCCCTGTAATTATTAGTGTAGCTAATTACTAATACTTTTCAGTAATAATATTACAGTTACTCCTCCTTAAAATAATTATTTACTATATTACTTTTTTTTATTGTCACCTCCCTACTGATTTGAAATCCAACAATCCAATCACATCCTTGGATTAATGTTTGTAATCGTGGAGGAAACTAATGATGGAAAGATTCAGCAGCTGGAAATATTCATATTGCTTTGATTTAAACAAACAAAACTGGATTTTAATCGTTGTAAGTCTGAACTTTAGGGAGAAAGGACACATTTACTAATTTTGTGGTAAGAAAAGTAATATAACTAGTAGTGTAACTAATTACTGTTGGAAGGGAGTAATAAGTAAAGTAATTAAATTGCTTTTAAAAGAGTAATGAGTAATACATTACATTTGTTTGAGTAACTAGCCCAACACTGTTAATAAATGATGAAGTCACTATGACTTTATGTGATTAATAGAACATCAGTTAATTAATATTGATTCCAACGGTAAAAGAAGTTCTCATATGTTTTACTTCAGTAACAGTAGCTGTACCACAGTGTAGAAATACTCAGTTACAAGTAAAAGTCCTACATTCAAAATATCACTCAAAGACCCCTCTACAGTCCTGTTATGGCCTTAATGTGACAAAAGTGTAAAATCTGAATAGGAGAACAAGTTTCACCAAGGAACAGAGACAACAGCAGGATTACAGTGCCATCTAGTGGTGAGGCAGGGTAGAGAGCAGACGTACCAAACAGTAAAACATTAGGTTTTATGATTCTGTCTTTACCAGGCAGTTACTGCTGGTTTCTAAAATAAATGTGATAAGTATTCTACTGCCATGAATACTTCTACTGTGAGGTTATTTAATCATTTCACATGAGTTATCTTTAAGGGATGACGTACGTAGTGGTGGAAGAAGTGTTCAGATCTTTTCTGTTTATCAGCTTAAAACATCCGTAGTGATTTCAATGTTGTAACACGATGAAAAGAAGAAAAAATCAGAGCAAAAACTCTTTAAAGGCACTGAATTAGAGAACAATTGTGACATCCGTTTTTCTGCAACATCATATATATATATATATATATATATATATATATATATATATTAAACATTTAATATAAACTGCCACAACTGAGCAAATGCAACCAAATAACATTAGACACATATACTAATTGTAGCAAGATTCAATTAAATGGCTAGTGGTTTAATGAGTCTGACTCAATTGAATATAAATGTTTTCAGTATTTTGATGTAGATCCAGACAGAAAGATATCTTAATATTTTTCTGTTGTAGATGTATTTGAATACATACATGAATTGCATGTATTCTTCGCTCATTAATTATCTTCAAGCCCATCCTCTGACTGAAGAGTGTGTGATGGAGTGAAAAGTATAATATTCCTCTATGGACTGTAGAGTAGAAATATAAAGCAGCAGAAGCTGAACTACTTTAAAGTCTATACAAACTCTTTAAAGGACCAGTGTGCAGGATTTAGTAGCATTTAGTGGTGCAAACTGCATCTAGTGAATACAGCTCGGCCTTCCAAGTGTTGCAGTGGCTGCAAAACCAAAGAAAAATGCGAAAGGCTCGATGCAGAGCCAGTGTTTGGTTTGCCTGTTTTGGGCTACTGTTGGCTGTTCAACATGGCGACCTTTGGAGAAGAGGACCCCTCTGTAGACAAAAAAGGTAAACAAAAGGTGATTATACAACTGTGAAAACATACCTATCAATATTATATTTGATTTCTGCTAATAGATCCTCCTAAATGACACAGACTGGACCTTTAATACAATACTTACCTTTTATCACTAGAGGTTAGTGGTTAATATTAAGTATCTCTGCAGTGAAAACCTACAGACGTCAAATTAATTCATATCATCCTTCTTTGTCCTTTTTTCTGCCTCCTTCTTTGCCTAATGATAGAATGAAGTAACAAGTAGAACAAAATCTTGATTGTTGTTGTTTTTGTTGTTGTTGGTGGTGATTTACCACAGTAAAGTCAGAGTAATCTTATTTGGTGGTAAATATACAGAAACATATACAAAGACATATCAGTATGTTCCAAAAGAACAACAGAGTGTGTGACAGATCAAATCACACATAGACAATGAATTACACGTACACAACATCCTGACACGAGAAGAAAGCCACTGAAGGTTTTGTGGTTACACAGTAAATCTTGACGCAAAATGCAGGTGAATTTTATCTCCTGCCAACAGATCAGAGCCACTTTAATACTTGGGATGTTTTTGTGCACATATTCACCTATATTCATTTTATATTTATGTTTTGCTGTAGTGCAGAGGCTCTTCTCTCTTGCTTTCTGTTAAGGCTGCAGGTTCTGCAGCAGCCCATTATGAATAAATAGATAAATACATACAGCAGGAAATATGTTGAAAATCACACAGGGCAAGCATACAGCAACAAAACAATGCCTGATTTGTTCCATTGTTCTGATGCAATTGAAACACAATGTGACACAGACATCTCAGCTATACTCTGATTTACAAAATGCAACATACTTGCAAATACACACACACACACACACACACACACACACACACACACACACACACACAGTCACACTGCACTTAACAAAGCTGATACTTCAAGCTTAAACAAGCCTTTCAAACAGAACACAAAGTGTATGAATGAAATACATTATGTGCACATAATATATACAACACACGTGACAAGACATCCAGGTCACACACACCTGACCCCCTCTGGAGTATTTTATGTCCATAATACTTTATTCTAAGGCAGTGGTCCCCAACCTCTTATATTCAACTGATTAACTGTACAATAAACCCAAATAGTGAACAAAATAACTGCAGGAATATTTTCTTGATATTTTTTATTTTCACTTTTTATACAATTATCTATTATGTATTTTTATAGTTTTTAACAACCATATATACTTAATATGCTTCTTTTTGGACAGATTCAGTGTTTTATTCTCATTGTTCTATTAGCTCTTTGGATGTTTTCCAATGCAGGATGAGGCTGTTTATCAGAGAGTGAAGGCTCTGTCAATATAACTTGTTCAGGTCTTCAAAGCTTAAAAAAACATAAATAAAACTTTAAAAATAACATTTTCATTCAGTTTTCTTCACAGAAATATATGAAATACTCACATATAGGCCTACTATGTATATTTTTTTACTTTTCTTACAAATCTTAAAATGAAGAAGGCCTCACAACAACCTAAAGAAGCTTTGCCGATTAATATTTATTCTAAACAAATAATAATTTGTAAACTATCACCATCTACTCTTACTCCTATCTGGCCCTATGTTTAAGATCAATAAGGTACCCATCAACTTCCCTGCATGGAAACGGAGAGGAGCAACCAGCCCGGGGCACCTTTTCAGTGACCTTCTCCAGCAATTTGCCCCACCACTGTCACTACCAGTAGATACAGACAGAACTAAACTATCAATAAACCATTGGATCAATATGTTATCAGACATAGAAACGCTCACATCAACCCTAAAAGACAATCTGACCCCAATTTATAAACACCTGGTCTCCTTTCTTGCAGTTCATCCAGAGCTGATTCCTCTCCACACCCTCGCTCCCACTCAGATCTTCTCAACCCCAATATTATAACTCAATCTGACAAAACAACCCACACATAATCTGCATGCCCAACACCATCAATACTACCCCCGCCCACTCACCTCCACCTTTTAGTTTTTATTTATTCAGTTTTATTGTTCTTTACTACTCTTCCTGCTTTCTTTTTTTATGTTTGTGCATTTTATGCCTATATTTCTGTTGTTGTTTTGTAAATATTGTTATCTGCTTGAGCTAAATAATATATATTTAAAAAAGAAAATAGAATATGAAAGGGATCTTCACACATTTCTCATGAGTACTGGCTGTGCAAATGAAAACATACTAAATATCTCAAACTACCGAAACAAACAGTGAACTTTGTAATATTTCAGATTTGATTTGCCTCTCTGTAAAAACTCCATGAATCTTGTACTTAAAAGGTGATTTCGCCAGTGATAATGTAGATATTGATCATCCAGAGTGGTTTTTAAAGGGAAAAAAACATTTCTATGTTCAAAAAAGTTAAAATAAAGAAACAATTTGTAAATTAAATCAGCAGAGTTGTTGGCCAAATATAATCCTTTACGTGATGTAACTACCACCATTGAAACACAAGTTCACGTTTTGTAATGTTAAAGTTGCACATAGTGGTTTTTAAAGAGGAGATTACAACATTTCCAGACACGGTCCTGACATTTGTCCATTTATTTTATACCTGAGGAGACAACGGGGTGAAAACTAACATTATAAATCATCTACAGGAATCAATAACGACTCAATTATATGGTCTTCATTGGCTCATTGTTCCTGCACCACACCGACTCTGTGAGCGAGGGCGCATCTCGACGCTTCGGTGACGTAGGCAGAGGACGACGTTTCCGTAGCAACTGGGGCCGGACCGTTACCCGCAGCGGCTGCTCGTACCAGCGGAGCTCGTCGACAAGCACCAGAAAGGGGGGGGGGTTGTCGTCGGTAACCGGATACCACCGCTGTCTTGTGAGGGCGTAGGGACACGGGGGCGACGCAGTATCGAGGCGGCGAGCCCGCAGGTCCGTGCGGAGATGCTGAATATGTGGAAAGTCCGAGAGCTGGTGGACAAAGCGTGAGTACCGAGGCGCAGGTGGAGCTGTGTGGCTAAACCGATGCTAACCGGGTAGCTAGCGGCTTTAACCGGGCAGCATCAGCGGCTTTAACCGGGCAGCATCAGCGGCTTTAACCGGGCAGCATCAGCGGCTTTAACCGGGCAGCATCAGCGGCTTTTATCGCTGACAGAGGAGCTGTCAGCTGGGAGCTCCGATTAGCTGGCTAGCTGCCAACCGTCAACCTTGTGGCATAAATAGAAAATGTGTGTGTGTTTTTTTACAATGGCTCCCCCCCCACACGCACACACTGGATTGTAGAGAGTAAAAAAAAAAAAAAAGCCACATTATTACACACTGAAAGCTCGACATTTGTTTCCGATCTAGACTGAATGCTATCCAGTTAGCTAATTCCGCTAGCATTGCTAAGCCCAGGTCGGCTCTGTGTGTCTGTTGTGTGTCTGTTGTGTGTCTGTTGTGTGTCTGCTGCTGCAGAAACACGCCCTGTCCCACCCCGGGGATGATGCCCGCTACCTTCACCGTGCATTCACATAATAATATTACACCCGAGCTAGAAAGCTAAACGTTAATGATGCCAAGCTGAAGTGGATAGACAAATTGTTTGTGGAATTTCCTGTCAAGTAGCTACCGACCATGTCTGACAGTGTGACAGTGTGCTACACCGGTCTAACGAGGCCTGAGCCCCCCCCCTGGCCCCAGACGGAGCTTGTTAGCACATCAGACTGTAGTAGAAGCTAATGCTGGTGTTGCAGCATACTACACCGTGGTTTATCTGAACTCTAGGCTACCCATGCTTCTTTGTGTTATCTCTATTGTTGCAGGTATAGTGTGCAGTGTAGTGTATTGTTTAGTTGCAGTATAGTATGGTTTAAACCGGCTAGGGTTGTGAAAACAAAGTCGGGTTTTAAGTAGATTTTACACAGAAAACTGTCATATTGTATTTAATAGAGCAACAATAACACAGTTACATGAAAAGCATGAGAACAGTGAAAACCAGATCTAATGACAGTATGCAATGATGGTTCAGTTAAAATCAACCTTATAGAGTCCACAATCTTCATCCAACGTTAAAGGACATATGAGTGTATGAACTCATAATACACATCAGAGTCATGACTATCTGGATTGATATCAAAGCCATACGTCATAAAAATAGCACTCGTAGAACCAGACTGTTCTTTCTATAGAGTAACTAAAAATCAGAATTTGCCCTGTTTGAAATCCAAATATTAATATATTATAAGTAGTATGTCAGTGCTTCATCTGCTGTCACACATCAACTTTTTAGATTCTCCTCTTAAACACTGATCCAGTCTTTTAACAGTTCATTCCCCCAAGTTTATTGTGGGAATGGCTCAATGTCAATACTATAACCTTGAATCTGTGAGAACATTATAAATCAGATTTTTTTTCCTGACTCAAATAACACCTAAGAGAGAAACGTGTGTTCGGTTTAAAAGCACACACGTTATATAGGGTCTAAAGAGCCTCCTGTGACAGCAGAAGAATCTGTTTTTTGTTGTTTGTGTTCGTTTTAGGTTTTTAGGTTTTTAGATGTTTGTATTGTAGATATATTTCAGTAAAGTATATGTGCCTGTTATCTGAATGCAATCCATGCATTCAGTAAGGATTAAGAGCCGAATTAAGTATTTTTTTCATTTTCATTTATTTTTAATTATACACTCGTAACTTTATCAGGTACACCCATAAAATCTAATGCAGTGCAGTAAAAGAGCTCAGTCATGAATTCTACCTTTTATAAATATAACTTTCAGTTTTGATTAACACTGTCACATTAATTTAACTATATGTTTATACTTTACTTTGCAGTGGTATTGAACTGAACTGCACTATATTGAGAAATTTATCTAATGTTTTGCTCACCCCATTTAAAAACATGAGCAGGGATATTAGAAACACATTTCATTATAATGCAGTAAGGTACAACACCCCAACTAAGAAATAAACATACAGTATAGTAACACCTCAACTATTCTTTGTCAATATTTTCTTATCTCTTTCAACCAGTTTCTTTGTTTTTGCATATGAGGTTGATAATTTAAAGTTGGAGGTTTCGGTTCCCTGTGGATTGTTAATGTGGACATGCATTTTGATTACAATCGTGTAAACAAGGTTAACCACAGACTACCATTAGATGCATACTGTGTGGGTGCTGTATTAGCACTCATAGGTATTCTGTCTGAACACTGAAACGTCTAAACAAAATGTTGATAAAACTTAGGGTACAGTTTGGCTCTCTTGCACCATTACCAAAAGCATCTTTTTTTTTAGGGAGACCTACCCTTTATTTTTGGTCGATTGATTAAAGAGTTGGTTGTTGTCAGCCGAAGACTGAAGTGTAGGTAGAGTTTTGGTCGAGCAAGATTTTCTTCGTTTGACTACAGCTGTAGAAATCTATACATTTTTCCCTGTATACCTTTTTATAAATATTGAACAAGGCTACCAACAGGAAGTGTTTTTTAATTTTCTTTATTTACTTTTTCAATCCTATTAACAAAACTCAAAGTAAGAATTCTAACATGAAAATGTTTCACTTTGTCTGCTCACAGTTTGAGATACTGTGTTCTCCAGGAAGGAAGGACCGATTTATTCAAGATGAAGTAGTTAGAAGAAAGTCGCATTAAGTAGAGATGAGTGAAGAGACTGAAGGAAGGGGATAAGAAGAGGGAATATATCAAAGTAGCACAGACGGAGAGATCAACAGAGCTTTAGATGGAGTAATAGACACCAGCTCCTATCAGCTGTTGGTGCCTGGCTGGGCATGATGAATACACTCTATTATTGATCTACTTCAACAGAGTTGGCAGCGGCGGCCTTGCTTTTTCTGCAGATTAAGAGTCACGCTATTATGGAGCTCTCGCTGTCTGTGTCTGTCTTATCAGCTGACAATAACACAGTCAAAAGCTGTAAATGTACAGATGCCTCTGACTTTCCTTTAGGTGGGAGGGTGGCAGGGCTCAGAAGAGAAAGAGATGGAGGGGAAAGGTAGGAAAAGAGAGCAACTGCTGAGGAATAAAAAAGTGATGATGGGTTTGAAAATCGGGAGAGGAGAGATAAAACCGGGTAGGAAATGATGTGAACTTGAAGAAAGGCCAGTTGAAGAAGTAGGGATGAATGACAGGCTGAAGGAGCTGCACATAAAGTTATGATGGAGAGGAAAATGTGTGTTTCAAGTTGCAGTGCTGTGGCTGTGTTCTTTTTGTTAGGGGTCTGTAGAGCAAGCCATGGCCATAAAGAGATGTAGCACACACACAGGAAAACAAACACAGCAGCAGGTGAGCCCACAAAAACAAAAAAGGCAGGAAGCAGACATTGCTAATGGGGGGAGGTTTGGCTGTGTTTACCTCGATGTTTTACATACACACACACACACACACGCATACTCTCAGACAAATGGATATACACACCCTTCTCACCCAATATGCTTTTGTGTGCATGTGTGCACACATGCATGACTGTCCTCTGAAGTGCAGTGGTCAGGATGCAGGCTTTTAGAAAGCTGTCATTCATTATTCAGTGAGCTGAGATTCTTCTTGTCTTACTTGATTTCATTGTGTGTTGTGTGTATGACACATGAGTGAGTATAACTATTGTGATCATCTGGTTTTCCACCGTTCTTCTCAGCTTGAGTGTGTGGTGTGCATGAGTGAGGTGTTGCCATGGTTGAACAGAAGGTGGACATCTGTGATGTGTAGAGAGTGTGTGTAGAAGTTAGATACGATAGTGACGCCGTAGTGTTCTGCCCTTGTGTTCTACTGTGTAAATGTGTCTGTGTGTTTTTAATTGTCAGTGTTTTGGTCTGTCCGACCTCTGGAAATATGACCACCTGAGTGTGAAAGGGAATCAGCATTGAACATTTGCTGATTTGGAAAGGTGCAACAAGACTGACTGACTGAAAGACAGTAATAAGCACTGTGGTCATAATAAGTGAACAGACAAGAAAGGAAAGCCACATTGTTTCACCTTGTCTAGGTCTGAGATACTGATGTTAATATGAATATATTATTGGTGTAATTTATGAAGAACATTTGTGTCAACAGCACCAATGTGGTGATGAACTACTCGGAGATCGAGTCCAAGGTGAGAGAGGCCACTAATGACGACCCATGGGGACCCTCCGGACAACTGATGGGAGAAATAGCCAAGTATGTGTAACATACACAACAACTGCACAGTGTTCACATACACACATTCACATAAGGTGTTTTATTAAGGAGAAATAAGAGTTCTGTAAGAAAGACAAGTAGGATTTAATTCTCCCCCAGCTCTGTTCTTTAGACCCAATTCTGCTTTGTTTACCTGCATGAGTTTTCCCAGCACTATAATTATTGTGTGTGTGTATGTGTTTGTGTGTAGATCTACCTTTATGTACGAGCAGTTCCCAGAGGTGATGAACATGCTGTGGACCAGGATGCTGAAAGACAACAAGAAGAACTGGAGACGAGTCTACAAGGTATGGCGGGTTGGTTGTTTCCCAGGTGTGCCTGTGAATCTTAATTCTGTATTGTTTCGTCAGGATGTATTAAAGCTGAGTGTCAGTGCTTTGTTGTGCCTGTATGATTGTACATGTGAGGTGCAGTGATTTCAGAAGGAGCATAGTTTCAGTTTGACTCTCTGCTGTATTGAGGGATGTTTCTTGGTTCCTTAATGATTCCATGTGTACAGGTATGAATGAATCCTGTATATGTGTAGTGCAAACAGCGGTACAATCCAGCTACATTCGTGTGTCCTGCCCAAGTAATCATATAAGACTAGAAATGACTAAGAATATGAAAAGATGATAAATTATGCAAGAGCCAAGGAGGAATGGGATTGGATTTTGAGGAGAGCAGTTCGAGAGGGGATGTGAGACAGGACGGGGAAACTGTCAGAAGAATAGTTGAGTAAGGCAGAACTGACCTTAAATATTTTTTTAGGAAAGATTATTTCTCACTGAGCAATGGTGACTACATCCCCCATAATTATCTCTCTTATGATGTCTCTCACTCCATCTCGGGGTATCTCTCTTTTTGTCTGTCCCCCTCTGCAAGGCTTTACTGCTGCTGGCCTATCTGATCAGGAATGGGTCTGAAAGAGTCGTCACCAGTGCCAGAGAACACATCTACGACCTACGGTCTCTAGAAAACTACCACTTCATTGGTGAGTCTCTAAATTAAAATCAAATTAAAATTAGCTGTGTGCAAACTAGACGCTACCAGAAAGATGATTGATTGTTAAGATAGAATAGGTTAATTAATAGGTTTCATTCTCTGGGGAGCATCAATACACTATGCTCAACAGATTGTCATGCCAAACTTTCCCTTTGATGTTAATCATCCTCGTGTGCAATTAGAAATTTTGTCCTGATGGTGGTTCTACAGGAAATAACCAAAAACATAACGATTGATCGTGTGTCTGTGTGTGTGTGTGTGTGTGTGTGTGTGTGTGTGTGTGTGTGTGTGTGTTGTGTGTGTGTGTGTGTGTGTGTGTGTGTGTGTGTGTGTGTGTCTGTGTGTCTGTGTGTGTGTGTGTGTGTGTGTGTGTGTGTGTGTGTGTGTGTGTGTGTCTCCCCAGATGAGAATGGGAAGGATCAGGGCATCAATGTGCGTCAGAAGGTGAAGGAGATGGTGGAGTTTGTCCAGGACGATGACAGACTCAGAGAAGAGAGGAAGAAAGCCAAAAAGAACAAAGATAAATACATTGGCGTTTCCTCTGACAGTATGGGAGGAGGAGGAGGTGGAGGAGGAAGCATTAAGAACGGTAAGTAATTTATCTCCTTTGACAGCTTGAGTCATGTGGATTAAAATTATAATATAACTTCTCAAACCCAAAGGATTTAAAATTCATTGCAGGAACAATATGATGTAAAGCAATCATGAGACTTTTTAAATGGGTATTTGAAGTTAAATTGCCTGGACTAACAAGGAATTTGAAATATTGGTTTATTGATTACTTGATTCATTTCTAATTTGATAAATGTCTAAAAAAGGACAATCAAAAGAGCCCATTGATACGTCTTTAGTGTCATGAAACACAGAACAGCATTATCACTTTGGATGATCTTTAACAAGGAATTGTCAAGTTTTTTAAATGAATAAATGACCTAAATCAAAACGGTTATGGATTAAATTTATTCCAAATGATTTATTGTCTTAGCATTAGATTAAAGCTCCTATTGATCCAGTAAAGGAAAATTTCAGGTGACTGCTTAGCAGATGTCCCTTTTCCCAGTACTGTGCCTGTTTCCTTGCTAAAAATATGTTAAATTAGTCAGTTAATCAGACAAAAGAACATTATGGACCAAGTGATTAATCAAAAAATATTTAAAAAATAATTTGCAGCAGCTCTAATCTTATTGTAACATCATATAGCTGAAATTAGGTTTATACCACTACACCACTATGTCCTTTGGTGAATGTCTGTGAAACTGCACAGTTACACAACTTAAATTCTCTCTCTTTCTCTCTCTCTGTCCTTTTCTGTCTTCTTCCTTCCAGCTAATGAGCTGGATCGGAGTAAGTGGGATGAGGACTGGGATAAGAGCAGAGGAGCATTCCCCTTCAGTGAGAAGCTCGGAGAGATCAGCGACAAGATAGGTAGCACCATTGACGACACCCTCAACAAGTTCAGAAAGAAGGAACGAGACGACTCACCCGACAGAATCAGGTAACACACAGACGATGTCCACAACACACTAATACATGTTAATAAGACATCTGAACAAATGGTAGTTTTAAAATGAACTGAGGGTGTATATGGAAGTTACTACATGCTGTCTTGGTTGAGCATAGTGTTATTGCAATAGGTAATTGGCTTCTTTTTAAATAGCTGCCTTTTTAAACTGAGATAACGCCACCCACTTGTTGCACATCAGCACTGGTTGCGTGTCCTGGATTATGCATTATATAACCAAACACACACAGACAAACAAGAATCTCAAAGCAACTAAACCGTCAATAGTGAAATCTCCTGAGTACTGCTTCTCATACGTCCTTCGTCTGGTTGCCATAGCGACAATGAGGAGGACCGAGCATCCAGAAACGGCAGGCAGGAAACCCTCGAGTTCAAAGATGAGGAAGAAACTGTCACAACGAAGAGCATCCAGATCACACAAGCAACAGAAACCACAACCACCACCACGCGGAAACGCAGCGGAGCAACAAGCAGCAAGACTCTGGACCTGGGAGCTGCAGCTCACTACACTGGAGACAAGAGCCCAGAGGTACTCACACAAAAGACTTGTGCTTTTCCAAATGTGGGACACATTTTCAATACTACACATTTAATCACCTTGTCCTCTCTACTTCTCTCTTTAGTCATCAGTCAGGCAGTCTTCCAGTAGCGGTCTAGCTGACTTACTAGTGATTGACCCTTCATCCAATCCGAGCACTACAACAGGTAACTAAAAACTGTTACACACTTTGAGATGTGGAAGAAAGATATGCCATGAAGGGGATTTACAAATTTGGTTATGTGGTGTACAAGTTGTGTCACCTTTTGCTGGAGAGTTTTCAGTCCTTTTGCTTTTTTTATGAATGCATGTATGTGTCCGTCCATCCAGGTGGCAGTTCAGACCTCATTGGTGGCTTTGCTGACTTCTCCTCTCCTGCAGCTTCTGCCAGCCTCCCAACTTCCACCGGTAAACTTGTTCTTGCCTTTCACAGCTCTTCTTCTAGTGGTTGTAGGGTGCTTTCATACCTGTAGTTTAGTTAATTTGGCCAAGGGGAAAGATGAGAGATTGCTGCATTTTGACTGATTTTCTATTAACAAAGAGGAGTAAACCTGAAGTTGTACAGACAAATCGACTGAATGTTCTAGATAATGACAAACTGTCAAAAAAGACCTGTCTCTTTTGTACAGAAATATTCTGGGGGCTAGCTGCTACTACTACTGTGCAAACTTCTGCAGTTAACATGCTTTGCCGCAACCCAGAATGCAAAGCGGTTTAGCTCAAACTTGCAGACTACACCTGGATAGTTGGGTTGGATCACATTTTCATCACAAATGAACAGGTCCAGAGTTTATGTGGGATCAGACAGAGATTACCTCCTCTCTAAGGTCTCTGTGTGGTAGTTTTGGTCCACATCTGAGTGCACCAAGAAGGAAAACATACCAGAGTCCAATTTAACTCGACTAAAAAGTAAAGGTTTGAAAACACCCTCAATTTATTTATCTTCTTTTAGTGTATTAAGATTTTTTATAGTGGATTTTTAGAAAATGAATGTAAACTTAATGAAGAACACAGTTCCTGGTAGTTCCTGTTAAAATCCAATATGTTACAGTCCCAACTCAACATATCACTCGACTCACAGCTGCTGCATCATCCAATGGAAACGGAGAATTTGGAGACTGGAATGCCTTCTCAGCCAATCCACCAGCTTCGTCCAGCTCTGGTCCCTCCCAGCCCGTCACTGACCTGTTTGGCAGCGTCCAGTCACCTACAACCCCAGCCCCTAATCCCGCCACTGTCCCGCCTTCTGCCGAGCTCTTTGACCTCATGGGTGGAGTAAACCATCAACTAACCAATCCACATACAACACTGAGTGCCTCTCAGAGCATGACTTTTTCTCTGGGAGGGGCGACGCCAGGACCATCTGTTGGTATGCCCACCATGCCTCTTTCTCGGTCTCAACAGGTAGGTACAGTACATATCCCAGGAAGTCCTAATTTGTCTCAGATTGTAAGAAAATCTGAAAATGTGGTAGATTATGAATGCCACTGAAAATCTTATTGAATAAAATAATTTAAAATGTTTGCAATTTATTTCAGAGCTTGGGAGGTATGACATCGCAACAGCCCATAGGACAACAGCAGAAGGTTGGTGTTGGAGGTCAAGGATCTTTAGGGTCGACCTGGTCTGACCCCTCTGTCAACATCAGCCTGGACTTCCTATCAGCAGGCCTCAACCCCACTAAGACACCACCCACACTCAACAATATCATCCAGCAACAAGGTATCATGTTTCTATACTGTGATTCATTTTCTGTATGCAGTTTCCACAGCATGTGGATGTAAAAAAGTTATATATATATATAATGCAAGGTATATGCAGGTCTCGAAAAGTCTTAAAGAGTGTTGATTTCAATCTCCTAAAAAAAGACAGGTCTCAAAATGATTCATATTAAAAAGTCCTGAATTTCATTTAAAGGTCCAGTGTTGGTGGTGTTAAAATGTGATATAAATACATGGACTGGGTAAATAATACTAGGCCATACTATCTCTAGTAGGTTTCATGGATATCTTTCATACATTGGCTGGTATGACCATGAAACGGGTATTAAATTGAATTCTGTGTGGTACTACAACATATTAAAAAGAACCCTGCAAAAACCTTGTTATAGGTTTCAAAGTTTTTCAAGGTTTCAAATTGAGGATTTTAATTCAGCAAGTCACCAAGTGATTTAGTGGGACATGTTGATGTCAGTGGACATTTGAAATATACATTGTTTAGCTCAGTTAATTACCTAATAAAAATTACCCACCTCCTGTTACACAGTATAAGGCTTTATATGGTAAAACAGTGTATTAACTCGTCCCTGCCCATATGTGTCTGTGCAGGAGTGCCTCCTGTCAACCTGTTGGCCCAGAACTTCGGAGGACTCAACCTCAGCTCCCCGCCCCACGTGACACCCATCAGACCACCAGCCAACGCCATGATCGCAGGCAATGCCATGACGATGGGCATGCCCGCATCGATGGCAACCGGCATGCCTGCTTCCATGGCAGCGAATATGCCCTCTTCAATGACCACGGGCACCATGGGGATGGGGGCAATTCCTGTAAACCAAGGCATGATGGGAATGAACATGAGCATGAATATGGGCATGGCCGCTCCAGTGATGATGGGTGGTATGGCTGGCATGGGAGTGCCAGGAGTTGGGATGGGCCTAACACACTCCATCACCCCAGCTGTGGTTCCACCCAAACAAGATGCCTTCGCTAACTTTGGCAGTTTTGGGAAATGAAGGAGTGCAAATGTGTGTGTGTGTTTGAGTGTGTGAGCGTGAGTGTGAGTGTGCATGTCTGACATTATGAGAGTATGAACCACTGAAGGACTGCTGTACTTGAAGACAACCTTGCATGTTTCTCTTATGCTTCTGCTCTCGTTGGCGAACTGGCACCAGTGATGGTTCACTATGATCTTGGAGGTATGGGGAGAGCGCCCACTGGTGCCCCCTTACCCAATGGTAATTTGATGATGTCATCAAGTAATGTCACATAGAGGACGACCCTAAGAGCAGGGAAGGTGTCTAGCCACAGCTTCTAGTCCTGTGGTGAAAGGATCTTCATCTTAACCTGTTTTTATATATGAACTACAGTATATCCCCACACCATTACAAAGAAATCACTGCAAAACGTTCTTCTCTGTGACTGAGAATTCAATCAGTACAACTCTGTATTGTAGCCCAAGATATCATGTTTTGTATTATTTAACCAAATTCTATCACAAGATTTAAGCCATTACATTATTGGCAGGGGGTTTCTCTCGATCATTGTGCAAACAGTATAACAGCTGCAGTATCTGGAGTACACTGAATCCACACTCTGGTCCTCCAGCAGAGAGCAGGATGGGTGTATGTGTTGATATAAAACTGTATGGTGGTACTTATTCTAGAGCCATATTAGGGTGGATGAAGCACATATTACACCCTTTTTTCTCTCCCCTCCTCTTTTTATCTGGCTTGACTCAGTGTACAGTAAGACACTCAGTCCTATTGTTTGTTGATGTTTAAATGACAACATGGGTGAGGCCTTGAACTGCTCAGAACAAAGGTCCTTAAAATGCTGTTGGGCTCTTTGATATTACAATAATCGCTCACGGTTAGAAGTGATATTTGTCCTCTACTTAACATTTTTTCCTTCTGTCAGATGAATGCGCGATGAAAGGGTCAGTCAGTATTTTATTCAGAGTACTATTCACTGATATTTTCTCTTTATTTCTGAGCCACATAGATTTATGCTGCCTAGTCTACTTTTGCACACATACAGTTTAGGGTTAGAGGTACAGGTTTTTAAAGAGTATTTTCCAGCTGGCTGTGTGAACAGAGGGTAAACGATGGTCACCATTTTAAAGACTCACATTCCTCTAAATTTCTTCCATGTTTAAGGCAGTTGCACATCACAGAGTTTTGTGTGCGACAACCCAGCAATGTACCTTTTAATTACAAAGTATTTTTGCCAGCAGACATTTTTCACCCTGCAGCTCACTTGGTGGTGTAACGGTGGCATATTTTTGCGCCCCACAAACCACGTACTATAAAATTACCGCCGTAACATCGGACTTGGATTAGATAAATTGGCAATTATTTTTCATTAGCTGAGTTTTAAATTGTTTCTATCGCTAGCTGAGACAAATCTAAAAGGTTTTTTGGGGGTCTCGATTGAAGTGTACGTGTGAGAAAAGCGTGAATGAGTGTGTGACTTTATGTATGGGTATAGTTTTCTCTGTTTGATGTGCAAACACAGCTAAGCAGAGCCTCTTGTCATTTTCCGAGGCACTGCACTCCAAATGACCAAATCTTTATTTTGTTACTCTCAGAAGGATGATTCCATAGCTATTAGTTTAATATTTTATTAGCTTAACTTGTAGGTTCATATGTTCATATGGGAGAGCTACTACTAACATAACTTAGTTGACGGGAATCATGTTTTTGTTTCTTTTTCGGTACATCTCGTTTCATTTGATTGTACTCTATATTTTCTGTACTTCATTCGACATTAAATTATAATATTAAAGATTAAGTTTCCTCCTTTTTTTTTTAACAAAGCACAACCTTAATTAGTATCGTTAGTAACACCTGTGTTTACCCTGCGATTTCATGTCAAAATGGTGGCTGTGATAAAGGTCTGTTCATTCATCCAATTGTGAAATATGGTTGAGTTAGGTGCAAATACATGTTTGTGAGGTACACGGTAGCCTTGATCTTTGACCACCAAATTCGAATCAATTCATCATTGAGCCCAAGTTGACTTTGTGGATCTAATTTGAAGAAATTCCCACAAGAAATTCCTGAGCTATCTCGTTCCTGAGGCCACAGTGACCTCGAACCTCCAAAATCTAATCAGTTCAACTTTAAAGAAATCCCCTCCAGGCGTTCCTGAGATATTGCGTTCATAAGAATGGGACGAATGGACAACCCGAAAACAAACATCTAATATTTATATAAATATTTTCTGAAGGAGAAGGGACCTTACTTCCTCAAGAGGTTGGGAGGGTTACTTTAAAAATGTAATCCAGTACAGTTACTAAATTACCTGTTTAAAAAAATCTAGTCTGTAAGGTAAACAAAGTATCATAATACTTGATTACTTTGTTACTTTTGGATTACACCAATATCAGTAAGAAGTATTGATGCTGTGAGTGTATGTAACCTTTGAAAAGAAGATGGAAAGAATTTTATAATTGTAATGCTGCTAAATAATCCCATTTTTTTTACTGAATGTACTGTAATGGATTACAGTTACCTTTTGTTTTGTATCCTGATCACATAACCTGTAATTATTGTTTATTGTTTGTCCAGTCCGTTATATTAAAAAAAACTGTTTTGCCTTAAAAAGCTAAATAGCTGTTAGCTTGAACGTCACAGCCGTTGAGCTCTTTCAACGTCCAGAAACGTTCTGTTGCCAGGGCAACCAACGGTTTTTAATTCAACACGAAAATCCCCCAAAAATATACAGTGATAGTCGCGACCCTGGACACAACCCCTCAAAAAATGAAACCAGAAAGGAGTCCACCAACCAGACACACTGCCGCCGGCCAGGACCCAGCGACGGCCGCCTCTCAGCGGACCGGAGAGTCGAATAAACCGCTGGACGGGGCCGGAAGTGGCTCCTGGGAAGAGTACATAGCCTCCATTAGAGCCAGTTATCAGTTTGGATGCGGAGACGGAAAGATCCCGCCTTTATCCACCGTTATAAACAAACCACCCGGTGGGGTCCGGTTAGAAACTGTCACTTCAGGTTCATGTCCAACAGCAGCAGCTGCAGGTTCCCGGGTCAGTGGTGAGCAAAGTGTCCCGCTCCAGGTCACCGAGAGGCCGGGTACGCCACAGGCCACTGCGGCTGGAGAACACCTGAACCGGAACCCCAATCCGGCCCTCCTCACACCGACCTCACCCGGACCGGGAGCCGGAGACTTCAGATTTAACATCCAGCCAACGGAGGAAGGTACAGTAAGTAGTCCCTTAAGGTCTGTGTGTGTACTGCGGGATGGGAAAGGAAGCAGAGGAACAGGAAGATAAAGAGGAAATATGTGGGAAATCTAAATTAAATTAAGAGAACATAAGACAAACTTGTATTTTGTTTTAGATAAAGTTAGAAAGGGAGAATTGTGAGATTGTAAATCACATTAAGACATTCAAGTTAGACCCATGAGTCAGTAAAATTAGATTTACAAGACAACTAGTCAGAATTATGATATATTAAAGAAAAAATATGATGACTTAAAGTAAAAATAAGACAGATACCACATAATATAGGTCAAAATTCTGCGATAGTAAGTCAAACATTGGACTTTCTGTGTCAAAATTATGAGATATAAGTAAAAGGTTTAAATCTGGGTCAAAATAATGATATATTTGTAATAACTTTGATAGTAAATCAACAGCAAAATTCTGAATTCTTTGATTTATTATCTAATAAGTTGTACATAATATGAGTATTTGTTTTATTTATTTTGTCATCCCTAATATTTCATGTTTTATTCTTTTCCTGGTGGGAATGTGTTTCCTTGAATCTGGTAAGTGTCTAGAAATCAGCATTTGTTATATGAGCTTCAGTTCAGATATACATAACTCCAAAATAGATAAATCATCTGTGTCCCAAAATATATTTAATAACAAAAGGGAAAATAATGAGAAGATGGAGTTTGACAGACAGTATTTAGGGGCATTTCTTCATTAGGTGTTTTATCTTTCTGTATGTCTTTTTGCTGTAAAACATGTTTGTCATATTCCAGATTTCTAAGGGAATCTTTTTCTACAACTGCTAGCAAACTAATTAGTCCCCAAACGTCTCCACCAGATCTGATGCAGATGCAGTCTGGACGAGACAAGAACGGATACATTAAGCGGCCGATGAATGCCTTTATGGTGTGGTCTCACATCCACAGATGTGCCCTGCGCAAAGCCTGCCCCGGAGCCAGCATGACAGACACCAGTGTTCAGCTGGGCTGTGAGTGGTCCAAGCTCAGTAAGGAACAGAAGAGGCCGTACTATGAAGTGGCTCACAAACTGAAATGCATGCATACGCAGCAATTCCCCGGTACGGACGATTACTCAGCTAAATACTACACTGTTTCTTACTACTGTGTCTCGTATGGGAACATACATTAGGATATATATAAATATATAATCTGTTGTTTTTTCACTTACTCTGGCTTTCTGGTTTGTTATATCATGCCAGATTATGAGTTTCACCCCCGGAGGAAGAAAGTCAGAAAGTGTTTGCCCTTAGGACAGAGAGCAGGACATCAATCATCAGTCTTTGTCTCACAGGCCATGCCCCAAGCTCACTCTAGGTTGCAGTGCCCTAGTATGTATGCCATGATGCCCCACACTGTGGGCTACTATCCCTACCCATCTTGTTGTCAGTATCAGCCAATGGGCCTCTACTCCAGGCTCCAGGTCCAAAGGTCAAGGTCAGTGAAGTGGGAACTATTTTCTTACAAGGCTGTAAGCACACAGAATTCCCCATTCAATGACATTTGCTTTGATGCACTCAAATACTAGCAGTAATTTCTAATTTACTTGCTGTGTGCGTATATCAGGATTTTCTACAGGTACCAACATGCTAGCAGCTCCGTGGAGGAAGTGAAGAATTACTACAATACTTACCTGCAGAGGGATGAGACCGCTCTGGCTGCCCTCGCCGGGGAGCGTCATCCAGCATACGTTAGTCATGAAGTCGTCATTAGCTCTACGACAACATCGGGGAGCCTTGAACAGCCTGATATTGTCACCTGCCAACAGCTTTCAACCAGCAACAAAGTGGAGTGTATATGTGAGGATGATGTTGATGTTGTTGGACTTCTCTAGGTTCGGCACACACAAGGTCAAATAGGTCAAATAAACAAAGTGCCCTGTGATGTGTTAGTCTGCTTTTGTAATGAGGTGAACAGGTGTAGTTTGCCTGCAGCAGAATATTGGCAGAAGGACTCTGCTGTCCTGACTTCAGTGGGAGGTTTATTCCACCGAGCCTTGACTGAGATTGTGCATTATAACTAAATATTGCTTGTATTGAGCTGGAAGGTTAAATAATTGACTGCAGAAATATTATATAGTTTATATACAATATAATATAGTTTGACAAATGTATCTTCACGCAGAGAATGAAGCTGTAGTAAGTGGACCTTGTGTTAAGAGTTTCGGTGTCTCTGTATTTATTCTGGTTTGCAGGCCCACTACCAGATGACCCGTGAGGGTTCATATGGTCAAAGACTGTTGTTCCCAAACCCCAGAGAGATTTATAGACAAGCAGTTAATCCTTTCATACTCTATTCAACTGCACACTGGATGATTGGTGTGATGTGTTACGTTTTTTTATCTTTTTTTTAAGGGAGAAACACAGAAGTCGAACAGGAAATAATATTGGTCATGTTTCTCTAAGTCATGCCTGGACATGAATCATCTGATTCTTGACTGATGTTTTAGGATGATAGCATGCAGATTTTGTTATGGATTTTAATGTTGGGTATGTAAATACAGTTTTAAATACAGGACATGTTTACATACAGGTTTTTACTACAGTGGGCACAACAAAATACCTACCACCATCACAGCAAACACACAGAGAAGTGGTACGGAACATGCAAAAAACAAAAAAACAAACAAAAGTGTGAGTGATTCGGGTCCAACTTATCAACAACTCCCTGCACACTGCCTGAACAAAGACATCCTGTAAAAGTGGATCCAAGCACACCAATGAATGCTCAGCCAAACCTCCCAGAAAACAATCACCAACCAATCAGAGCGCACAGACGTCGGGCTGCGCTGTGATTGACACCAACGCTCGGCCAATAGGAAGCAGAGAAAGCACGTAGGGGCGTTTCCAGGAAGAGAGCGGTTACATTTTCCTGTAATGGCGGACCAGGGAGAGAGCGAGACTATCGGGTTCAGCGACAACAGGTCAGATAAATGGCAAATAAGGTGCTAAGATTAAACTCACTATTAAGCATGAGCTGATATTTAGTACGGAGTCGGTCGGCGGTGTTTTCCGGTCGGGAGGTTGCGATAAACGCGGGTTTCACCTGTGAATGTAGCCACGCTAGCTCGTTAGCTCCTCGCTAACTAGCCTGTGTTGCCGAGCGGCTCGTCCGTGCTCTCCGCTCGTGACACGCGGTAAACACAGGCAGCCAGGTCACATACACCGACCCGTATCTTCCTCCCTCACTGGGCTTCCCACCTCGCCAGGACCCCCCCTCTCCACGACATTGTGTTCAGACTCAACTCTTGTTTTAGGTTTTTTCTGTACGCGAGTGTTAGTGTAGCAATAGCCAGCTAGGTTAGCCAAGCTATGCTACATTCATTGGGCACACAACTCCGTCCGTGGTGTTTTGAATGAACTGGCTTTCTGTTGCTCTGTTTGGGAATAGGCTTCCCTTTTTATCCGATTGAGTGTTGGGTTTTATTTGTTTGTCAAGGTATGCAGTCTTTTATGTGGCCAACAGGATATCGCCCTGAAGAGTTCAACATTTAAACATATTACAGCCACATAACGTAACGTAACTACAACACCCACAAACATCATCCTGTCGGTGTTATTGTAACTTCAAGAGAGTATTTGTGCAGCTCAAAACTAACTGCGTCCTTCTCAATAGAAAACCTCTAACTTAAGTCTGCCTGGGTTGTAAAGCAAGTATCACTCTGTGTTATTTTGTATGACTTGCAAATATGTAGATGTTGTTAATGTTCATAATTTGTTGCGTTAACTAACAATATGGATTAAGTGCGAAGAGGATTTTCTTCCAGAATGATTTCTGAAATAGTTGAGACTAGCAGGTGAAGGGGACAGCTTCAGTGGGACTTCATATGCACTCTGATATCATGATAACTTTGCAAGTTGCCACACCTAGATAGATGTTGTGATCATCCTATAGTTAGTGCAATAGCCCCTTTTTATGTTGTAGAATTACCTACAGATTTGTGTAGTAGTTTAACAGCAAATTAGCTTGTTTGTATTGATTAAAGTGGTGATGTTGGAGAGTTTTTTTTGTCAGTGCTACTCAGTGATCTGCCATCAAACACTGGTTGTAAATTGATAAGCAATGTAAACATATATCGCGAGACGGTTAGATTGTGATATGAATATGTGAAGATTTAAACTGGTGAGGTGATTGTGTTGGGTGAATCATTATGCACAGTTTATACCCTATCTCAGAAATAAAAAAAGAATCTCTAATTCTCTAGAGAAAATAATATTTTGTAGATTTTTGTGTGAGAAAATCTTTTTCCGTCCTAATTTGTCTTCAATCTGTTAAGAACTTAAGAAAATTGTATTGCATTGTGAACCCACTATCATGAAATGTTTTGAATTGTGAGTTAAACTTGATGTTGTTTTGGCGTGCAGAATGGTGCAGCAGGCAGTGCGGTTCCGCGGCCCTGCGCCTGCACCCGCGCCTGCCCAGACCCCAGTGTTGCGAGGCCCTCCGCCACTCCTTAGGCCACCGCCACCTCCTTTTGGGATGATGAGAGGGCCACCGCCGAGACCCCCATTTGCACGTCCACCCTTTGATCACAACATGCCGCCCATCCCACCACCAGGAGGCATGCCACCACCCCTCGGACCACCTCATCTACAGGTAACCCGTTTCCCATTCTTATATGACGTGCATGTTTTTCTTTATGGATGTAGAGATAAACTCTCATATTTCTGCTTTAAGCTTCTTTCTTATTGACAGTTGCAGTACCTATGCTACTGCGATTGATATCCTTTTAATATCTTGCCTATAAATACTAGAATCTCGGATTCCACTGATTAACACACCTTCATCTAAACCCGTTCAGACACACTGACCCATTGTGGTGGTCTGTTTGAATGGGTCAGCATACGTCGTCAGCAGACCCTCCTTCACAGCTTCCCTCTTTGGTTAACTGGCATTTCTATCAAGGATGTAATTGGAAATTTGATGATACCAAACGGTCAATCAACATTTAAATGATCCCATTAAAAAAAGTGAAAGATGAGGTGAGAGAAGATGAAGAGAGAGAAATACACGTGAGTGAATGAGAGAGAAGGGCAGTGTGTTCATGGATAGACAGAGGTGAAACTGAAACTCGGCTTCGATCAGGAAATTATTCAGCAGAATTATCAGTGAAGTCCACTGCTGACTGTCTAATATGATTGGGTCCATCATCGCAGGTCCAACACATGTTAGACCAGCATCATATGTGTATCTCCTGTGGAAATGGTGCTGTTAACCTGTATACTCTGTCCTTTATTGCAGTAGTGGTGGCCCACAGTCATTGTAATGTCACAGGGATAATGTCAGTACACTAACTTATATTTGACTAATTAGTACTAATGGCGGTAATCTACATATTACACTTTTCTTCTTCTACTGTTTATATTCAAAGTCGTCTGATCAAGAGTATTAATTAAATAAGAGTAAATGCTGTGTGCAGTCCAAAGTTAAGTCAAAAGAAAAGGGTAAATCCTTCAGCAGAGGTGTGATCTTATCGATCAGTGGTACAGCCAAATAAAAGACATACATTTACGGTATGTACCATGGTTTTGGGGTTTGGCATGCTACAGCTGATAGACTATTACTTGTGCACCGCCAAAACTTTGCGGGTAAAACTCAACCTCTACAATTTCTGTTTCACACGTGTGAGTAGTAAACATAAACAGGTTATTTTGATAGTAGTTGTTTGGGTCACAGGGCGCACTGAACCGAGGCAGTCGCATACCAAACGAAAGGTCCTGTACCAAATGTTTCAGGACAAATACACATAATGTTGCGCCTCTACTTTTAATCATTAGAACAAGACACAAAACAAAATCAAGTAGGAATATGACAAACAGGGTTTTATAATGTCCTTGGCTACCACCTTCTTCTTAATTGATTCTTAGATGCAGTGTGATTCTCACTTGTATGATACAAAATTGACACACAAACCACCCAATTTGAGAGGTTTCAGTAAGCTCTGACTGCAGGCTCAATAGTCAGCAGCTTATCTGACTGGCCACTTTTCCATACCCAATTAAGTCACATTTAGTTGTTTTGGGTAATTTATATTCCTAACAATACTCCTGAAGATCTGAAAATGGAATGCTGGGTCTCAATGTTTTGCTACAGAGACCACCGTTCCTTCCCCCTCCCATGGGGAATCTGCCGCCTCCTCCAGGGATGCTGTTTCCTCCTGGGATGCCCCCCATTCCTACATCTGGAACCCCTACACTCAACCCTGCAGAGGAGATCTGGGTAGAGAACAAGACGGCAGAGGGAAAGGTAAACTTCAACAAACAACAGACTTGCACATAGCAGGGTCCCTCTACTGGTTTATGCAGGCTGGAAAATATGGAGAATGAATTAACGATTTTACAGTATCTTTAAAGTTTTTCCAAAAGTATATTCAAATTTAGGAACATATCGCCCTCGAGCCCCAGGGGTTGTCTGATCATGTGGAAGTCTAAGAGCGAAATATTGTACTACAAATCTAATACACAACTATACATTGCTGAAGGGATCCACTAACCCACTAAAATGATTTGTTTCACTGGGGAATTATTGTGTTTACACACACACACACACCCTGATCAAGGAAAATCCTGTGGTAAATTGTCTAATTATTATCTTTATAATATTGGGCTGGTATTTTAAAATAAGTAATTTGGATTATTACAATATTTAAAAAAATTCAGCAGTGTGATTACTAAGGGTTGATGCTAAATATAACTTATATTGTAGTTACTCTTTGTCAAGTTAAGTGTTTTTCTTCTCTATGATCCATTCAACAGGCATATTATTACAATGCCAGGACCAGAGAGTCGTCGTGGAGTAAACCGGATGGTGTGAAGATCATCCAGCAGTCTGAACTCAACCCTCTACTTGTAGCAGGGGGTTCTGTGACGGGTGTGACTGCAGCTGCCAGCTCCAGCAGTGTTAACACTACAGCCAGCACAGCCTCTCCGACTCAAGCCCCGTCCACAACCCCCTCCCGCACAATAACCTCCAGTCCAGACTCCACCTCTGCCCATTCCCCCTCTGTGACCATTGCAGGTGAGTACACAGTCGAATATCAAGCGCACACAAACACACACACACACAAAAGCGCAAAACTAAAAATTCCTCTTTTTGTTTGTCTTTTTTCCCCCAAAAAGCCACTGTTGTAGCAGACCTCAATTCTGTTGCCACAGTGACCTCAGCTGTTGCTGTGTCTCCAGTCACTGTAGTAACTGTTTCCACGGTGCCATCGCCTGTTACAGCGGTGCAGACCGTGCCTCTGCTGCCTGCAGCCCTGCCTCACAGCGTGGCCCAGCCCACCGCTGCCATACCTGCCTTCCCCCCTGTCATGGTGCCACCTTTCAGGGTGCCCTTGCCGGGAATGCACATCCCTCTGCCAGGTAAGAGCAAGAAACTAACAGGACACACTATCTAGCTGTTTCAGCATTTCCCAACAGAGTCTCGCTGATTGAGTATTCCAGTTATTTAATTACTCTGATGCTAATAGGCTACTTAGCTGTATAAATGTTTTGTAGCATCTGGCATGTAGTTTACAGTCTTGATGGAAAGTCTGAATCAGCATTATGGGTGAATCTTTGATAACAATAAAAAA